GTCCAGACACAAATGGACCGATTGTTGGTCCAAGGAACCTACTGTTGTCCGAGTGGCAGCAGTGAGAGTACAAAAGCGGAAAAGAGGGAATGGCAAGTCCAACTCTCAGAAGAAGGCTAAAGTGGCTGCTGTAGTAGCAGAAGATCCACTTATTGTACTCCCGGAGGTTACAGAAGATTTTGTTTTTCAGCCTGAGCAAGACTCGGACAATGAAATCATCTGGTAGAAAAAGTGTCTGTTTTAGTCTATGTTTACTAGTTTTCTTTTATATGGGTTTTCGGTTTCTATGCTTTTCTTGAATAAATTATGATTGTGTTTCCGCCTATTTGATTGCTTCAAGCACTCTGAGGATGGGTTTAAGACCCGAAACAGCTGGTCTGTCAGTGCTCTACCAAAGTTATATTTGCTACCAAGACACTTCCAAACCGCTGCTAAAAAGACTACTACACAATACATCTGCTATATTATCGCCGGGGAATAGAACCAAAGGATCCTTGATCTTAGTAGTGCCCGAAGCTATTAGCTATGTTGAAAAGACAAAGAGAACCAAGTCCGGAAACCGCTGTTAAGCAGAGAAGGTTGGAACAGAGGCTTCCCTCCTTACCAGTACATGGAAAAAGACCTATACTAAAGGCAAAACTGTCATGGACGGTCAAAGGAAAGGATGAAGGCGCCCAAGGGCATTTCCTGTTTGACACCGGTTGCACAGGAGCTATCCTCAACCAGAGTTTTGTCAGGAAACATGGAATTCCCTTAGTGCGGCGGGATCAACCTCTGACAATGTTTGATGCTCAAGGAGATGTCATGATGGGAGGAGGCGAGTATTACACTCACCCGGTCCGTATGACTATGGGAGATCATAAAGAGACACTCCGATGGGAGGTGGCCACACTGGAAGAAGGAATGACCGGTTACCTGCCAATTAGCTGGGCTAGGAAGCATAACCCGGACATTAATTGGGAACTCAACACCATGAGCTGGAGGAGTGACTACTGCAAGCAGAATTGTCTCCCAGCAGCCACCAAGATTGAACTGATCTCTCCATACCAAATGTTGGAAGAGGAAGAGACAGTCTATCAACTAGTTGGTTCAGTATGGCATGATGAGGACGGAGGTGATATTGCTGAGAAAATACACCACCTATACCGGGATTGGGCTGATGTGTTCAGTCAAGAGAAGATTGAGGAAATGCCGCCGCATTCCCATAATGATTTAAAGATCAAACTCTTGCCTGGGACCGCTCCCCCATTTGGCCCGCTGTACCCATGTTCCGCTCCAGAATTGAAGGCCCTCCGAGAGTACCTGGACAAAGAATTGTCTTCAGGAAAGATCTCTAGATCTAATAGCCCCGCTGCAGCGCCCATACTGTTCATTCCTAAGAAGGATGGGACATTGCGGATCTGTGTGGACTACAGAGGATTGAACAAGGTCACTGTCAAGGACAAGTACCCGCTGCCTATCATGAGTGAGCTCAGAGACAGGTTGTTCAAGGCCAAGATCTTCACAAAGATAGACCTGAAGAACGGCTTCAATCTGATCAGGATAGCTGAAGGTGATGAGTGGAAAACCGCTTTCAGAACTCGCTATGGACTGTATCAGTATAATGTGATGCCGTTTGGTCTATGCAATGCTCCCTCTGCTTTCCAGGCCATGATCAATGATGTGCTGAAGGAACTACTGGATGAAGGAGTGGTTGTCTATATCGACGACATCCTCATCTACTCGGAGACTGAGAAAGAACATGAGCTACTGGTCAAGAAGGTCTTACAGAAGCTAAGGGAAGCTAAGCTCTGTGCCTCGATCAGTAAGACATCCTTCCATGTCCGAGAAGTAGAGTACCTAGGCTATCACATCTCGGAAAAGGGAGTATCTATGTCAGAAGACAAGGTGGAGGCAGTTAAGGAATGGCCAATCCCTGAGAATATCAAGGCAGTACAGGCATTCCTCGGATTTGCAAACTTCTATCGCCGCTTCATTGAAGGCTTCAGTAAGGTTTGCAAGCCATTAACTGACCTCCTGCAAAAAGACAAGAAATGGTATTGGACGGCAGTACATGAGCAGGCCTTTGAAGAACTTAAGAGGCTGTTCACAACCGCTCCAATCCTCCTTCATTTTGACCCTAGTAGGAGAACGGTGGTCGAGACAGATGCCAGTGATTTTGCCAAAGGAGCGGTGCTCTCTCAGTATGGGGATGATGGGAAGCTACATCCGGTGGCATTCTATTCTAAGAAGTTCTCCCCTGCTGAGATCAACTATGACATTCATGATAAGGAAATGGGAGCTATTGTAGCCTCTTTCCGAGAATGGGAACACATGCTCAAATCTTGTGAGCAAGAGATCACGGTTTTTACAGACCACAAGAACTTGGAGTACTTTAATTCTACCAAGGTTCTCACTAGGCGGCAAGCTAGATGGTCTGAAGACCTCGCAGGCTACAATTTTAAAGTTGTCTACAGACCGGGAGAAAAGAATGGCAAGACTGATGTGCTATCTAGGCGCTGGGATCACCGCCTTGGAGAGGGAGGTGAAACTCTGCAGCCGGAGCCACAGATCTTTTTTAGGCCAGGTCAATTGGTTTTGGATCCTGCAAAGCTAGCGGCTCTCAGGGTAAATCAATTGCAGAATACATTCTTAGAGCGCCTATACACGGCTGCTAAAGAGGATAGTTTCTGGCAGGAATTGCACCGCTCCCTGGTTGAAAGGAAACCAAATTTGGACCAGAACTTGTCGGTCAAGAACGGTCTCATCTTCTACAAGAATAGATGGTACATACCCAAAGACAAGAAGCTTCAGATGGAAATACTGTCCGATACCCATGACTCTAAGGTGGCTGGTCATTTTGGCCAATTTAAGACACTAGAGCGGGTGAAAAATAACTTTTTTTGGCCCAACATGGATAAGGATGTTGAGGAATATGTCCGGAGCTGTGACAGCTGCCAGAGGAATAAGACCTCAAGACACAAAAAGTTTGGTATGCTCCAACCGTTGGAGATACCCTATCGGCCATGGACTTCCATCTCTATGGACTTCATTGTGGGACTACCGGAATCTAGTGGGTTTACAAAGATCTGGGTAATAGTGGACCGCTTTTCGAAGATGGCACACTACATCCCTCTTCCTACCCTCAATAAAACGGAAGATTTGGCTAAATTGTTCTTAAAGGAAGTTTGGAGACTCCATGGTTTACCTGATGACATAGTCTCGGACAGAGATAGTAGGTTCATCTCTCACTTTTGGCAATCTCTCATGAACCTCCTCAATGTGAAGCTGAAGATGTCCACATCTTTCCACCCCCAAACGGACGGTCAAACAGAAAGAGTTAATCAGACCCTGGAACATTACTTGCGGAGTTATTGTTCATATCAACAGGATGACTGGGCAGAACTCTTGCCTTTGGCAGAGTATGCTTATAACTCGGCGGTCTCTGAGTCTACCAAAGTATCGGCTTTTTATGCCAACTATGGATATGAACCCAGGACCAACTGGCCGGCCCCAAAGGAAGGAGTAGAATGGAACAATCCGGCAAGTGAGGTCATGATTTCTCAATGGGAATCTATCTGGCAGGCTATGAACGCCAGCTTGGGTAAAGCTAGATTAAGGATGGCCCGATGGTATGATGCTCATGCCCTGGCACCACCTGAAATCAAGCCCGGAGATGAAGTTATGTTGGACCGGCGCAATGTGCAAACAAAGCGGCCTTTGGGGAAATTGGATCAGAAGAAGATGGGACCCTTCAAGGTCTTAGAAGCTATTGGTACCCGTGCCTACAAGCTCTCTCTTCCCCCTCAAATGGGAATCCACCCGGTCTTTCATGTCTCTCTTCTAGAACCTTATAGAGCACCGGTAGATCCTGAGAGAAGAGTTCCACCACCGGAACCTGAGGAGATTGAAGGGGAACGGAACTGGGTTGTCCGAGGGGTAGCTGATAGCCGGGTCAATAAGAAAAGGAGACGAGTGGAATACCTAGTGCTGTGGGAAGGTTATGAAAACGAGGATGCTACATGGGAACCGTGGGAGCATCTCAAGAAGAGTGCTGAAGAAGCCCTTCGGGATTTCCATATGAGGTATCCTAAGAAACCCAAGGACAAGCGGATTGTTGGGGTGTAGATTATTTCCTTTGGGTTTTCATTTCCTTGCATAGCATGGAGTTTCTTGTCATATAGAATGAATGGTAATAGAATGGTTATAGATCTCGGAGACCAAGATCCTGGAAGAGGGGAGTGGTGTAACGGAGCCATTTCAACTGTCTGGTGTATGAGTACACACAGGGCCCGGTTACATGCTGAGAGTTATTGTTAGAAGCCAGTTGCACGGTGACATGCAAGTGCCGGCAGTGTGGTTAGCTACCAGCTGTTAGAGTAACTACATTCCGGGCACTAGGGAGAGGATCTATTCATGGGAGCAATGACTGACGAGTCTATGCCTCGCTAGTGACTAGAAGACCGGCCAGAGTGAAGCTCTGATTGCCCGGTGATCCTCTATATCCTGAGAGCATTGTACACCGCCGAAAGGCAGGGACTATGCTAGGGAAGTCTACAATAAGCGAAAGCTCTACAGCAATGATTAAGCTTACACCTGAGCGGCAGCTCATTCATGCAGGTCCTCGGTTGTGTGGCAACCAAGGCTGCAGGTGTTACAAAGGCTTTGACTAAGGGTGGTTGCCTTGGGTATCGGAAACACCTGCTGACGCTTAGAGAAAAGCGGGGTAGCGGTGGTATTGTTTCCGGTACTGAGGGAAGGCCCACCGGGAACTTAGTAAAGGAGTTAGGAGCAGAGAACAGAGGCCTTCGGAGTATAAGTACTCAGGTTCATTCTCGCCCTTCAGTCCTGTTCTCTCCAGTCTTCATTAGAAAGAAAAACCAAGTTCTTATCGGTAGCAGAGCCCTTAAAGATTATTGAGTTCTAGCGATAGAATCTTTGAATAATCTGCAACCTGATTGTCTATCTTGCACGGCCGTCTCTATTCTATACAAATCTATTTCTGTTAGAAAGGACCCCCGTTACAGTGTGTCCACTGTTCTCCGGAGTGTGGTCGTTTGCTCTTCGAGGATTTCCATCCTGTCGGTGGGTGGGCAGATTCGGCTGGTGGCATGTCTAATGGCCCAGGTAATGTAGTTCAGGTCCGTCTGGGTGTGAGTGTCCTGGGGAACGATGCTTGGGTAGAGGTAGTCAATTCTCGGTTGGTATGGGTCGTTGTAGTCGGATTGTGATGCAAAGGTCGAGGAGAATTCTTGTTCCTGAGCTCCGGATGGGGTTGGATCGGGAACCGGAGTATTCCTGTTCTGCGGAGGGGCTGTCCCTTGCTGGGAAGACTGGGTGAAAAAGGACTGGAGCGAGGCTTGTTGCGACATAATTGAATGTCCAGTTCTTCTGGCGGCGTAGAGTGATGTTTCGGAAAGGTTTCTTTTCCTTCCCTTTGGGAGGTCAAGGCTGGAGAATTCTTCGCTAGAAGCCAGTTTTCTTGGTGTTTCTTTCGCTTGGAACAACAAAACGCGACCGTACGATCGGGGACGAAGTGGCTCAGCCTGGTATGGTATACCAGGGTAAGCCGAGAGGAGTAAAATAAAATCTTTTTGAAGCGAGGTTTGATATCAGGGAGTTCTTTGCGAGCCTTAGCGAGCAAGTAGAATACAGAGGTTGCGTAAAGAAAGAAGAAAAGAAAGGAAACAGATAAAAGCACGAGACAACGCCCCCTTATATATCCAACCATAGTCCAATAATGAGTAATACTTCCGCGTAACAGAAACTAAAAGAACATAATAGAAATCTGCATTACAAATCCTAATTCCACTGCACAATACCTCTTTTCCTCGTTCCAGTTTATCACCTAACCGAAATATACAATTGCCATTACACACAACTCACAGATACCACAATACTTTGCGCAAAACCTTGTTGAAGAAAGAATTCCCATGCCTGAGTTTAGGGAACCCCCTATACTGAAGGAATAATTTCATTTATTCCGTCTTATGGCATGAGAGTTTTGTATAATTACATTCATAAGCTTTTCCCTCATCTGACTCTCTCAAGGGGGCGAGTAGTGAGTATTCCGCAGGGTACGAAGGAGATAGTAGAGGTCGGTGGAGGAACCTACAATAGGGGTTCTGAGGAACTCTAACATTGGTAAAGGTTCAACGTGACAAGATAAGCAGCTTTCATGGATCGACTAGTGGATATACGGGGTTATGAAGAGTCGGATTAGTCAGAAAGGTTCTATTAGGTTCCACCGGGTTCTGTTGATCGTTAATGTATGAGTCATGTTGGGTTTGTCATCGCTGGGATTTCCTTGAGTATATTAAGAGGGGTTTTATTTGTATTTCTCGTTCTTCTTTTTCTTTCTCTTCTTTCTTTACGCAACGTCTTCTGTATCTATGCTGTCTATTGCTATACAATATTATCGTCCTCTTCTTTCTTTAAGAAGACCACCGCTTCACTTCTCCTTGTCCCGTCGCACCTTACCAACGCTAGAGTCCCGTAGTACCCCTATTGCGAGTTCCCATACCTTCTCCTATTACACTCTTCGTTCACTGCGGAATACTCGCTACTCACCCCTTGAGAGCAGCAGCGCGGTGGTCTTTTTGAGTAAAGAAGAGGAGATAATATTGTATAGTAATAGACATGATAGGTACAGAAGACATTACGTATCAAAAGAAAGAAGAGAAAAAGAACAGAACCGAGGATGAAAACCTCCTAATATACCCAAGGAAATCCCAGCGATAACAAATTCAAAATGACTCATACCCTTGCGACCGACAGAACCCAATAGAATTCAATGGAACCTTTCTAACTAATCCAACTCCTCATAACCCAATGCATTAACTAATCGATGCATGAAAGAATCGTGTTGCGAGTGGTGTCAATCAGCTCATCCAATTTTGCACTCAAGTTCCTATCCCGCTCTATTTTTTCCTACATTGTGACCCTAAACTACTCTACCTTCTCATGCAGACCCCCAACCACATCTTCCAATTCTTTCACGAACTGCCTTTTAGGTCGCTTGTTCTTTTTAGATAAGTCTGATTCACTCCCGGCACTCTCTGTATCCATCAATTTTCTTTTACGTACCAAACCCTCTTGTGAAGTATACCATATTGTAACGGCATACTACGAGTGAGGAAGAAGTTCAGGAAGGAGAGGGATTAGTAATCGGGATTTCATTTGTTGTTTCTTTTTTGGGATTTTGGTAATGCTTGAGTTTTCTTCTTATAAGTTTCTGTTATACGGATTAGTAATCGGGTTCTCAAGGATATATATATGGGTATAATTTCCCTTTGTTCTTATTTTCTTTTCTCCTTATCCGAACTTCCTGTTATATAGTAATATATTCTATTTTCTGTTTTCGAACCTCCACAAACCCAAGTCATATAACCTCTTGGTTGTGCCCCTTGTTTCCAGTATTAGTCTCATTCTCACTTCGCATAACGTGAAGTGTTTGATCCTGTTCTCCTTCGTTTCCTTCGATGTTCGATCGTATAGAAACTTTGTATAGTATCTATCGATATCAAGCCCAATATCCCCAAACCCTGGCCATGACCCTGGCTCAGCTTCGACCGTTCTCTTACCAAGAACACTCGATCCTCATCCTAGTTTTCCCGAGTCGGCCCGTAACACATACCTGTACCTCTTTGGCTCACCTAGTAGCGAGCTTCTCTTTTGCGATCTGCTTCACCAAATCGTTGGAGGAAACGGAATCATAAATATATACAAGGTCAATCATATTGCGTAAATGTTTATCCACTTCCTCGATAGCGCCTGTCTTTTGTTTTCAAAGCGACTCGTACTGCTAGAAGGATTGTTAGTGCCAGACAAATCTAAACCAGAAATATCACACACCTGATGCTATTTTACACGCCTCTCAATTCTGTCTTTATAGCAAAGCCAAGATCGATCCATTCCTACCCTCTTCAAATTGTCTGGAACCTGCTGCTACCTATTCTTTCTCTTATCAGCTTTATTCATTATCAGATCATCTAGCAACAACTATTTAGTCAAAGCCCTGTCTTCCCAAACATCTCACGTAGTACTTCTTCTCCTTCTGACCTCCATACTCCTCTGAACTTTCTTATCTATAACTGCAGTCTCAACCTATTGAAAAGTATTCGAGGAGGAAGACTCCTCCAAAATACTTATCAAGTCCATGATCAGGTCTCACCGCATAGCGTTTTGTTTCTGTGTTTCACTTTGGCGAAATTTTTGTTTCCCGTTTGATTTCACTGTGTGTTACCTACTAAACAGTTAGTAGATTTAAATTGAGGTGAGAATAGGTTATATCAGTTCCACTTTGATGAAATTGGGATAGGGGTGTATTGTTGAATTGAACAAATAGCTAGTCTTACAGCATTTAGTTTCAGCATCTCGTTTCGTTTCGTTTCATTGTTTCGGCCCTATTAAACACTTAGTTGATGTAGATAGCGAGGGGAGTAGCTCATACTAGTTCTATTTTGATGAATTTAGGATATAATGTGTTATTGAACTGATGCTAATAAGTAGCGTTGGTTGTGAAAAGAGTAGTTGTTTGTGAAAAGAGGCATTGATTGTGAAAATAAATGACATCACCACATGTAGCTTACTTGCCGGTCACATACGCAAAGTAAAAAGCATTTCCGGACCTCGAACCCTATTTCTTGGCATTTGGAGAGCTGAATCTTTCGAACGCAGAGTCTGTATTATCCTTGCCCTCTGTCTCGTACCTAGTCAAACTCGCTGATGCCAATGTTCGTACCTCACGGAACTAAACAACCCCCATATGACAATGCCAACAGTAAATTTTTCAACCCCTCTCCAGCATATGTCTTAAAACATGTAGGCATTTCAGTGATCAGAAGGTGGGTATCAAAATATGTTTCCGGAATATCATGCCTTTTCTGACTTCTCATTTCAGAGTTGAAATTGCCTGCCCGGGTGCCTTTTGGTGCCTTTTCCGGAATTCAGATCTCAATGCCATATTTGCCAAAAATACAAAATAATTGATGGAGAAAAGACAGAAAACCCCATCTAAATACTCTCTTGCTACTAATTGTAACCCGGAGAATATTATCTTATTCCAAACTATGTGTTTTTAAATCGGGGTTCTTAAAGTCCACCCGGAATTACATATATGTATTAACGGGTTGACACAGTAGAACCGCAACAAAAATCCCGAATAACCCAAATCCCCACCCAAATATCACCCATACAATTAGGATCTCTTATAAACCAGACTATCTATGATGGAAGTGCACAGCCGATTATTGACTAATGAGAATTATAGAAAGTCTGGGTACGAGACAGCCTTGCCCTGAGCAACTGCATTTTCTGGTTCTTATGCTGGTAAGCATGTACTGTGCTCCCCGGCAGTCATACCTTGATTGTTGGTTGAGCGAATCAACTAACTGCTCATTTGGCCAAATTGGCCGCGTCTTGGTGAACAGATCAGAACAAGCCTTTCAGAGTTTATCGAATCGGATATTTTTGCTGCCTTGACCAGGCTGTCGGCACGTATCTGAGTTCGGCGCTGCCCGCCCCCCGTCCCGCGCCCAGACCCCCCGACAAAGATCCATGCACAAGCCATCCTACATACCAGATCAACAGATAAGTACAGTCGCAACTCGCTATGCCGGATGGCCAAGACTCTGAGGGATTCGTCCGGCATAGCAAGTGATCCGGGACAGCAAAAAAAGGGAAAAAGTAAATATAGGGGAGCGTAGACTATAGGTACGGTACTATAAGGGAGTGTAGAGTATAGGTACAGTATGCCGTGACCATGTATCGTGAACGCTTGCCGGCTTTCTACTATCCATATCCAAAATGCCTCCTGTCCAGCGCAGACAGCACATTGCCGGTTTTACTCCATTAGGGAAATACAAATTGTGTAAATTGAGACAGCGATTTCCAAACTTGAAATTATCTTTATTTGCACTTTTGGAAGAATACCCAAGACGTCCAGATGGGCGGCCCCTTGCAACATCTTGTAACGGCAGCCATACGTTTCGGTTATGCGAAGTGTTAGAGTATGTAAAGGAAGGATTGCGCAGTGTGTGTGGGATTTGTTAAGTGAGTTTCTATTATGTTCTTTCTGTTTCTGTTATGTGAGAAGATGAGTCATCGTGGGTTGAGGTCTTGATATATAAAGGGGCGTTGTCTCGGCTTTCTTCTGTTTTCTTTTCTTTCCTTTCCTCTTTACGCAACCTCTGTACTTTACTTGCTCGCTAAGGCTCGCAAAGAACTTCCTGATAACAAACCTCGCTTCAAAAACATTTTATTTTACTCCCCTCGGTTTACCCTAGTATATCATACTAGGTTGAGCCACTTCATCCCCGATCGTACGGTCGCGTTTTGTTGTTCCAAGTGAAAGAAACCTACGAAAACTGGCTTCTAGCGAAGAATTCTCCAGCCTTGACCTCCCGAAAGGAAGGAAAAGAAACCTTTCCGAAACATCACTCTACGCCGACAGAAGAACTGGATATTCAATCATGTCGCAACAAGCCTCGCTCCAGTCCTTCTTTACCCAGTCTTCTCAGCAAGGGACAGCCCCCCCGCAGAACAGGAATACTCCGGTTCCCGACCCAACCCCATCCGGAGCTCAGGAACAAGAATTCTCCTCGACCTTTGCAACAGAATCCGACTACAACGACCCATACCAACCGAGAATTGACTACCTCTACCCGAGCGTTGTCCCCCAGGACACTCACACCCAGACGGACCTGAACTATATTACCTGGGCCATCAGACATGCCACCAGCCGAATCTGCCCACCCTCCGACAGGATTGAAATCCTCGAAGAGCAAACGACTACACTCCGGAGAACAGTGGATACACTGAAGCACCAAATCGAGGCGCAGACAAATATGATCAGTAACATGCATTCAGCGATCCACCTTCTCCTCAACAAACAACCGCAGCAACCGCAGCAACCACAACAAAACCAACAACAGCAACAACAGCAACAACAGCGAAAACCACAACAACCGCAGGGACAGAGAATGCCCCCTCCAGCGGTCCCCCAAACAGTTCCCCAAGCAGCGCCTCAGGCAGCTCCTCAGGCCCCCCCACCCGCACCCCCCCAACAAGCCCCACCCCGTGGATGGAAAGCAGGCACCTGGGCCGCCGTGGCCTCGGCACCCGGTCCTGCTCAAGGAAATTTCCAGGTTGTTGAGAGAAGAAAGAAGTCCGCAAAGCCAAAAGCGGACCCTCTCTTCAAGCCAGAATATACCAAAATCAACAGAGAAATCATTGTTGAAACCACTGCCCCATCCGACGTCAATCCCTCCGAGATCAGGACCCTAGTCAATGCAAGAATTCAGGACGAATCCTGCCACTTCATTTCAGCAAGGAGAACACCCAAGGACAACTTTATCCTGGAAACAAAGTTTGTCACCCCAGCAACAAAGGCAATGGAATATGTCAAAGAAATGGAGGAGGTTCTCCTCACCCTACAAGTACCAGTCGCCATCATCCGGACAAACTCCAAATGGTCAAAGTTCCTTATTCACGGAATCCCCACAACGGTCGGAGAAGGCGTCGAGGCAGGACAACTGGTAGCATCCGAAATTAGAAGCAATTATGGAGATAACTTCCAACTTGCCCAAGTTCCCCGCTGGATCTCCAGAGCAGAGACTCGAATGGAGAAAACCCACTCATCAATGGTCATCGCGCTCCCAGGACAAATTACAATGGAAACATCGGGACTTAAATTCCTATCTCTCTTCAACCGAAGCTGCCATCTCGAGGCCTTCCTCCCAACCTTCCCGGATACCCAGTGTGCGAAGTGCCTCGAATACGGCCACCGCCAGGAGAAATGTAAGAACAATGGGAAATGCGGCCACTGCGCCGGAGATCACCTCACCAGTTTCCACCCATGCAATCAATGCCAGGGAGGATATAGATGCACCCACACCCCAATCAGATGTCTGAACTGTAAAGGAATCCATAAGGCCTCCGACCCAGCATGCCCCGAAAGAGTTAAACGCCGATTCCTCAACAAAGGAAAGGAAAACGCCCCACCCGCTCAAGACCCATCGGCCGCACCCGTCCAGGAGTTGCTTCCAATAGTTCAAGTACCAGCCACAGCCCCAGTCGGAGCCACACCCGTTCCCGAAGACGACCAACACATGACAAATAATGCTTAGGCCTCGAACCACCGCGCTCGCACACCAACTCAACTGTGCACGGAGCGAACTTATCACCAATGCGGCGATAGAAGAAGCGGAAACAGACTCTAGCATTTATTTCCTATTATTACAAGAACCATGGACCTCAGCAGAGGGATACCCACCAGAATCAAATCTCTTTTATATTTTTACGGCCAGCAACACCAATACAAAATGTGCAACATACGTCCGTAAACATGCCAACCTCAAACCAAAACACCACTACACACACGATAATTTCATAGTATCGATTACGGTAGAAATCCAAAACAAGAAAACCCAAATCCTAAATATATACTCCCAGGCCGAAGTGGCCCCTTTGCCCAAATAGCAAAAACAATCCAAACCCTCGACAATTGCCTAGTAATGGGAGACTTCAACTGCCATCACCAATTGTGGTACGGAGTAACATCACATGAATACAGAAACAACATCCGAGCAGACCGCGCCAACGGTGCACGGCTAAAACAATGGATAACTCGACAGAAACTGACCCTCCTGAACGAACCAGGCATCTTTACGCACTTCCCCAGAGAGAGAGGAAAAAGGCCTACAATTATCGACCTTACATTTGTAAAAGGCCCAACTCTCGACCACAACCTACGATGGAGCACTGCACCCTATGGAGCGGGCTCAGACTACGGGAGAACCTCCGTTCACTTACACTTGGAAAAACCACCATTCGTACCAAGACGGATGTGGCGACAAACAGGCTAGAAGCTCTTGGAGAACCATATGTCAAACATTTCTCTCCCTGCAGAGGCATGGGAAACCAAGGAACATACGGAACAAACCCTCGACTTCTTCCTAGAACTGGTCAGGGCAACAATCAGTGTAGTAACACCACTCTCGAAGGAAGGAGTAAGAGCCAACTCCTGGTGGTCAGAGGAAATGAAACAAATGAAGGCAAGGGTAAACGCGGCAGAAAGGAAGGCGAGAAATACAAAAAAACCCAATCACGCGGAGGAACACCGGAAGGCATGCAGAGAATGGACAGTCATGATCCGGAAAGCAAAAGCGGACCAGCGGGAAAAGACGATGAACGAGGCGAAAGGTAGTGAAGTCTGGAGAATCCTAAACGCAGGAAGGAGAAGAGGCACAATCATACCAACAATACAAGGTGAAGAAACGTTTGCGGGGAAGTGTCAAGCTCTAAGAGCCCAACTTTTCCCCTCAAAACGGACGTCCCCCGACCACCCCCCCCTAAACATTAGACCCCCTTCTTTTGACCTTAGCAACACCTTCGACATAGTCACCCCCGAAGAACTTAATAAGGCAATCGACTCCTGTCCAGCGCACTCGGCGACCGGCCCGGATGGCATTCCTTACACCTTTATTAAAGCAATAGTCAAAGCAAATACAACCCTAATTCAAGACATGTTCTCCACCATGCTCCGGCACGGTGTACACCCAGCGGCATGGAAAATAGCTAAGTGTATCCCGATCCCGAAACCCGGTAAAGCGAACTATCATGAAGCAAAAGCCTACCGGCCCATTTCCCTTCTACAATGTTTCAGCAAAATCCTGGAGAAGATCGTGGCCCAAAGACTCTGTACCGCTGGAGAAATTCTAGGCACACTCTCAGCGAATCAATTTGGAGGAAGACCAACCATCTCGGCAATCGACGCCCTGCTGAGAACCTTAACACCAATACAACAAAACCTACTACTGAAAAACAGCACCGGAGTCGCTCGGCGAGACAGACCAGCGATCCTAACCAATGATATCCAAGGAGCATTTAACTGCGTCGACCACCTACTCCTCGCGGAAATCATGCAACAACAAAAATTCCCTACCTACTTAACAGAATGGTGCAAGGAATTCAATACCGGCAGAAAACTACAGTTCCAATTCAACCATGAGCTAGAAGAGCCACAGCCCTATGATTCTGGAGTGCCGCAAGGTAGCCCCATGTCCCCGGTGCTATTTATGATCTATGCTGGAGTAATCCTGGACCCAACAAGCAGCCCGAAAGAGATGGACACCACTTACACCGATGACGATGCGCTGGTGCAAATATCCAAAACACCAGGCTTCACAATCAAGGGAATGGAGGAACGAATGAGAGAGAGACTAATAAAAGCTGAGCCACTTCAAATTAAATACGACCCGGATAAATCCGACCTGATCTTCTTCCGGCCCACCACATCATCCATACAACAACCACGACTTCCGGTCAAAATTAACAATATCAATATACACCCCAAGGAAAGGCTGAAATAAGTAGGAGTCTGGATAGATCCGACCCTCTCCTTCCGGCCCCACATCGAAGCAGCGATCGCAAAAGGCCTCAAAGCCCTCCACCAGATTCGATACACAGCTCGCCTGCCAGGCATAACGGTTAAAACAATCCATCACATCATAACACAAGGCTTCCTCCCAAGCCTACTCTACGGATCCGAGGCTTGGTGGACTGGCGCAGACCACATTATAAGATCCCTCGAACCACTATATAATGAAGCGGCCAGGATAATCACCGGCCTACCACGATGGACCAAAAGAGCTAAACTCCTCCGAGAAGCAGGCCTACCCCCCTTAGAACATCTTCTGACATATCGCTCAAGAAAGTACGTAACCAGAATACTCTGCACAGAGGCAACCCACCCCAACAATGAATCCCTGATCGAGCTCCTCCCATACAGAGAAGCAAACATCAAAGGAACAGGCCTACACCGAATCGCCTCCCTACTACTCCCATACCAGACCCCCGGAAATGCGAGAGATAAGTGGAACCAAAATAAACTACTACGCGACCACCTGTTGGAAGAATGGAACACACAATCAATACCGAACTACCACCACCGGGGGGAATTCCACCCCCTCCCAAGATAGCGAAACTCACCCTTACGGAAGCAAAAAAAGTATTTCGAATCTGGTGCCAAACCACCCGAATCGACAAACACGCAGTACATACAGACCCCGAACCATGCCAGTGTGGTATGGAAAACTCGGCGAAACACATACTTATGGAATGACCAGCGTGGGCTCGAATCCGCACCCCTCTGATAGAGAAGATCCCCGGAGCGATGACCTGGGAAAACTGGATGTTTACAAACCTGAGAACGGACCTCATGCTACAATTTGCAAAACAATCTCAACTCTCGAAATGGTACGAGTCGGCGGAGGCGGAGGCGGACCTGGAAGAGGGGATGGAAGGAAATGATTAGGGACGGGATTAGGAAGGGCAGTTTCCTTTTACTCTTTAAAAACTTGTTTTGATGGATCCAGCGCCCGAGTCCGCTGAGATATGTTATTTCTCCTTGTCGTTGGGTTTTCTGGTTGAAGTGTCGTTCTGGAATTTCCTCGTTATTTGTGTTTGTGTTTGCTTTGTTCTTGTTTTGTTCGTTTGCGTTTTGTGTTTGCTGTTTTTCCTTTTTTTCTTTTGTTCGGTTCGTGTTGTAGGCGGTTGAGTCGGCGTGCGATAAGTCTTGTACTTCAAAGCAATATAAGTTTCTTCTTCTTCTTCTGTATTTATTCCACTAATACTATTCTTTGTCCGCACTACGTCATAGGGCTCCAACCGGTTTATCATACCAGGTAGAGCCACCTCATAGTCCATAGTCAAAGTATACCTTTACGTCTACGTCCACGTCTACGTCACTACCTAGGTTGTATTCCTTGGCACCACAGTCTATCGCCTATAGTCCCCGTGATACATCTAGTTCCTCGGACCATTTAAAGGGATGGGAAAAGAGGGCAAAAGAAGATCCACCAAGCGGTATGAGAAAACTTAATCTATGTTTTCTTAGCTTATCTAACAAAATATTAGGTCCGAATTCAAAGAAGAAGAAATCCAGGACCGTCCAATATCCATTTTTTGAGCATTTTCTTGCACTTTGGATAGATGCGGCAGAATCAGAACGAATTGGAGTTACAGGTAATATAATCCGTTCGCAGTCAAAGAGAATTCAAAAAGAGCTTCTGAATGCAGGTGTTCTTGAAAACTATGAGTCTTTTGAGTTGTCAGGGGGGTGGTTGACCAACTTTAAGGGGAGGTACAATATCGGTCGCTTAAAACGACATGGGGAAGCTGGTCAAGTCGAGGAAACCATGCTACCTGTATACAGGGAGCGACTAGCAGAGCAATTAGCACCATTTGCCCCACCAGACTCATATAATTGCGATGAAAGTGGTTTGGTTTACAATAAACAACCACAAAGCTCAAACGTCAGAAAGGATAAGGGAAAATAGATCAGTGGTCCGAAGGATTCAAAAACGCGTATTTCAATATTTCATATCGTTAATTCGACAGGAACCGATAAAAGAAAGCTTTGGGTGATTTCGAGAGCAAAAGAGCCGCATGCATTCAAGAAAAATCACGTTAACATCGCCAATTTGCCTGTTGTTTACCGATATAATAAAAAAGCCTGGATGTTGACTGGGTTGTGGTATGAATTCCTATGGACATTCAACCATCGAATGAGGATTGAGAATCGTAACGTAACTCTTGTTACTGATAATTGTCCTACACATCCGCACCCGCGTCACCCTCCTCAGAACTACAATGGCCCAACTCCCCCTGTTCTAACGAACATAACTCTTATTTACCTTCCACCAAACACTACATCAAGACTTCAGCCTCTAGATCAAGGAATAATAAAAGCATTCAAATCTGCTTATCGCCGTCAATATACAGATAATATGGTACAGTACTTCAACAACCATGGAGTTGCTCCTGAGAAAATCAATATTTTGCAAGCGGTGCATTTAATATCAAGCGCATGGGATGAGGTAACCCCACAAACGATAATCAACTGCTGGCGAAAAGCGGACATTTGTGGTGGAAGCGCAACTCAAAATACTGACCTCAACTGCAACTCTTTACTTCCACAGCGACCCGAAGATCAAGTGCAATATTTTGTTGCTTCCCAGCGCACCCATTGTCAGATTGCTATGCGCCGCATTTTTGACCCTCTATCAGATTTTCAAGTACCCGACCCTAAATGGGCAGAAAGATTTGAGGAGTTTTTTTCCTTCGACGAAGATGCTGTTCAAGAGAGTACCGATTCAGAAATCGGAGGGAATGCACTACCAAGCACATCGCAACTGGTAAAGGCAGGTATCGTATCAGGCATTCTCCTGCAAGATCCGTCCCTACTTGACCAATATGACGGCATGGATAATGAAGAATCCGAAACCGCGAGCATACAGGTAGAAGGCAACGATATTCCAGCTCCTTTAGCAGTTGTTACAACTGAAGGTGCAATCCATTATGCATCAGAGCTTTCTCGCTACCTCCAGTCTCTTAAAACGACAGAGCTGTACAGTAACGGGGGGAAGAGGCTTGGGGTTGATGACTTGGTCAAGCAAGTATGTGAGCTGAAAGTTGCTCTTGTTCGGCAAGTATCCCCTAAATTCTGGATTAGAATCAATAGCTAATGTTGAGGATAGCCACAAGCATACTGCATATGTCCATCAAACCAAAATTAACAGGTATTTTACGGGCGCGCTCCGCGAATACAGAGAGAATGCAGCAGCGGGACCATCTGTTGTTATAAGAGAACGGGCATTGGTAGAAGACAATATACTATTAAGACATTCCATATCTTCCAGTGATGTTGAGGAGGACGAGGAACCTTACTTACCTTCCCCAGTTGTCTGGAGCGGGAGTGGTATCGATGCAGAGTACGAAAGGCTTGCAAATTGAAAATTGCATATAGCTCAACAACCAGCCATCACAGGCTCAAGCTGATAGCACCATTAAATTCGTCGTAAAAAACTGACCTATACACATTATTAACCTGTACTCATCTCTAATACACATATCATAATATCCAATTTTGAAAATTCTCGATCTCAGATCACTTTTCCCTACCGTATTGTGATATTGCTCAGCAACCAGAGGTTGCAAGCCTATGCTGGTACCACCGTTAGATTCCTCGTAAAAAACTAACCTATACACATTATCAGCTTGTACTCATCTCTAATATGCAGGCTGCAGTATCCAATTTTAAAAATTCTCGACCTCATTAGAATTACTTTTCCATACCGAATTCTGATGTAGTTCAACAACCAGCAGTCGCGCATCCAAGCTGGGAGGATGGTTAGAATTGTCGCTAAATTCTGTCCTATACAAAGTATTAGCATATATTCATTCCTAATACACAAGTTGCAATGTCCAATTATGAAAAAGATCGATTTTCTTGAACTTTATCATCAAGAATTTGACTATATCTCTACAACCAGGGCTCAGAGGAAGAAACCGATAGTATGGTTAGATTTGTCACAAAATTCTACCCTAGAAGCACTATTAGTATATCTTTATCCCAAATGTAGGAAAGGATTTGAAGAAAGAAATGCAACTCCTCGAGTATCACCACTCTGCAACCCAACCCTAACCCATATGCCAAGCCCAACCATCCGGGATAGCAGATCTTGTTTCTGTAGGGACAGGGGTTCACTCTCCTGTGAATTCCCATCCGGTCCGAACAGGCCAATATCCGGGATAGCAAATGCATTTTGGTGATGAAAAGTAGTATCCACCAACCTCATCCGGGACAGCAAGGGATCCGACACAACGAGTTCCGGCATATCGAGTTACGACTGTACAGCGAGAGGGAAAATTATTGTAGAAACAGGGATAAGCGAGCGCCACCAGAGATCGTTGATTCCTATTGATGGTGCTGAACGGTGCCGGGTTCGAAGGTTCTAGCAACACCCGAAGACACCAATTTTTGTATGTAGGTATGAGCTGTGAAGGTCCAAATAACCCCATCGGCCCCACTGGCATCGCCATCTATTCTTCAACTCTGCCGTGTTCTATCAAAATGGTCACTGTCCGATCCGATGACATTGAGTACAAACAGCGATGCTATGTCCAGGCATTGAGGTTCTCTGCTGGCTGGACATATGATCGCATTTCCAAAGACCAAAACCTTCCTCTCTCTACAGTAGCGAAGATCTGTAATACTCCTGCTACACCTAAGAGAAAGAATAGGTGTGGTAGGAAGATCAAAATCGATACACCTACTCACCGTAGGCTTGTCTACGTTGCTACCTTAAACGCCGAGAACCGCCGCAAACCCTACGCAGACATCGCACAACTTGTTGGAGTAGAAGCTGATAGTAAGACTTTACAAGAAGCTTTTGCCAAAGAGGGTTATCACCGATGTTCAGCACGCAAGAAGCCATCTCTCGATGATATTAAGCGAGCAAAGCGGTTGACATTTGCCCTAGCTCATCGACACTGGACAGTACAAGATTGGAGGCGTGTAATATGGACAGATGAAAGCTATATATGGCTAGGGGGTAAGAGGGGGAGAGTTTATGTCACACGTGCGGTGGAGGAGGTTTGGTTAGAAGATTGTCTTGCCCCCAAGTTCAGTAAGCAAGATTCAGTTATGATTTGAGGCGGCATTCTGGGTGCTGGTGGGAAAAAGATTATGCTCATATGGGAGAAAGAGGATTGGGGTACGATCACAGCAAGAATATATATAGATGTTACGAACCATACCCCTATACTAAACGTATGAGTTACTAGGAAGTCTGGAAGGTTCCGTGGGATTAATAATCGGTTGTCATCTCCTTTGCTATAAAGAGTCGTTGTGTCTCCTGTTGTCTTTCTTTCTCTTTCCTTACGCAACATCTTGTATTCTACTTTGGGTTATTACTTTGGGGGTTCGCCTCGCTTCAATACATTACTTTACTCGTAGTCCACGTTGCGCCTGCTGTCCCTCCTGCCCAGTGCTTCCGCTAGTATGATCTCCGCCGCCTCCCTATCCCTCGCCGCATCCTTCTCGGCTAACCGGCCGACCGCCGTTATCTCCGTCCTCGTATGGACCTTTATCTCTGTCCTCGTACAGACCTTCGTCGCTGCCCTATCCTCTGTCCTTGCACAGACCGTCGTCCCTGCCTTCGGACATACCCACGCACCCTCCTTCGCCCTCGCGTGAGGACCGCCCCTTCCCTCTGGGAACCTAACCATGTCCCTCGACCCCTCAGCTTCTACCCCGCCCATGGTTCCTTACAGTAGACCACGTTCTTGTACCTGTTCTTTGGCCTATGTGGTACTGGGAAAGTCTAGCGGAGGGTGGTGGTCACAGTCTATGGGTAATGGAGGACGGGGCATCTGCACACAGAGCCAAATTGACACAAGCATACAGAGACTACTACCAAATCCCCTGCCTCAATTGGCCACCTTCCTCGCCTGATCTAAATCCTATCGAAAATATTTGGAACCTTTTAAAAAATCGGCTTAATAGTAGGAACCCGAGGCCTAGGGGTAAAGCAGAGATCAGAACAGCTCTCCTGGAAGAGTGGGATCAAATCAGTATTGAGGAAATTCAAAAGTTTGTAGATAGTATGCCTGAACGTATCCAGGCCGTAATACAAGCTAATGGGGGTCATACTCGCTGGTAGTAGACCTGCCCGCCCGTTGATATTTGCTTTTTCTTTGATATTCGCCACTGTCTCAAAACCCTTGTCATATCCCTGTCTCGCACCCCTGTTTCTACAATAATTTTCCCTCTCGCTGTAGGAACATGCCCAAAATGATCGCCCGCCCTGCACATCATGACGCGTAGTCAGTCTAAGGTATGTACCGGGTCAACCATAACCGGCTCACACCCCCGTCCCCAGGTACTCGCGAACCCGAACAAAATCAAAGCTCGAAATCGACCAAGCTCGAAGTCGGCGCCCTCGCGATCGCGAGGTGGCCTACTGCTACTCTAATTTATACATAAACGAAAACCAAAGATATAAAGAAATTGAAAATAAAATAATATAGTAATATTAGCGAGTATAGTGTAACGTGGTCCTGATACTCAATACCTGTCGATTTGCACGATCGACCCACCAAACCGCTCCAAGATGTCACACCCCACATCTCTCGAGACACACGGGTTGGAGAGTAACGTAGTACTACTATGTCCTGGGCGTACGAGACATTTATAGAGATTATGCCCTCCTAGGGCATATAAACACAGTTACAGTGGTCGTAGGTGTTACAGTAGGGAGTACGTATGTTGAAGTACTTGTAAGAGTGATGACAATGATGTCAGGCTTCAATGTTACTGTTGAAATGCTTGCAGCGGTGACGACAGTAACAGGAGGTTTCTCTGTGTTTATACGTCCCCAAATGCTATTGGGGGAGCAAAGATAATTCTTTGTATCATAGCATGCATCTCTGCATAGTCCCTGGGCTGTAACAGGGCACAGTTTCTCAGAAGTACATGTATACTATTTCCTTGTAAGCTGTATGTTGTAAGTGTTCAAGTTAGGACAATTATAAGGACTGACATTAAGATTAGAGTAATAGGCATCACCGCGGATGAGGTATGAGCAGTGGACCGTTTGGAAGAGCACGAGCAAAACTAAAAGCGGGGGATTGAACATTGTAATGGAGCTATGTGTTGAATCATTTGTATGAACATGTGGCGCTTTATAACTCTAGGAGTCGTGGAAATGTGTACCTGGAATAATTCAGTAAAGTCATCGGGAAAGTCGTTTCTGGGTCCCAATTCTCGCTGGGAAATGTCAATATTTTGGTGGAGGGAAAGTCATTTTAAGGGAAATCGGACGACTTTACAGACGACTTAACTGACGACTTTACTGACACCTTTACCTGTCACGCTTTTGTCACTCATTTTGGGGGTATTACCAAGGGGGGATAAGCTTTGGCCACCGGTGATGCTCCACATGATTGACCAAAGCCATCGCCAATGAAACGAGCCATCAAAGTGCATCCTACTATTATACCTGAAGCATCAAGTCAGAATACCCTACATGTATATGCCAAACAATGGATCCACCAAAATAAAATTCTATCCCCTTATATCACTATAATGGGTAGAGAAGGCTCAAAATCCGTTGAGGACAATACTAAGGTTCATGACTCAAAGCCAGCGAGAGGAACTAGAGTCCTACCTCATCGGAAACAGCACCCGTCCCATTGAGGTAGATCTCATTCCAGAGGCTACCAAACACCTCCGAAAACGCAAAGGCGGCGGCCACGGTGCCGGCGGGTAAGCCCCTAAACACACACATCTTCCAAACCCCGCATTAATACCCCTTCTAGGTCCCTCAGCAATGCCGGCGGTCGCACCATCACCAGCTCCGGCATGCCCAAAGTCTTTGGCGGTTACTACGGCGGCGCCGCCGGCGTCCCGTTCACTAGCGGCAAGCCTACACCCAGGGGGCTTCTCCCTCTCTACCTTGGGGTATCGGGCGTCTACCTCTCTTCTGCCGGGGAGTGGCTATACAGTGGCATCCATGCATACTGGTAGGACGACGAGGTGGAGTACCAGAATGCGGAATTACCAGTGCTGTGCCTGTGCCAGGAGTACTCAGTGTGCGGATGCGACGAGAACCATTAGAAGGCGTTTATTGACTCCATGGTGGCCAATACGACCCTCAGTCGGCTGGTGGAGGTGAATGGGACGAGGCCATGGGAGCTTGTGTTAGTAGAGTACATATGGATATAGTGAAACAAGCTTATTTATACAAGCCCCCCATTAATACCACGTGCGTGTACCCTGCCTGGGCTGCACTGGACCCAGCCACACAGAAATCCCAATCCCGTGGGCGGGCTTGAGCCGGTACTGCCGAACATACTAGCTACATATACTCTACCTAGGTGGTTTTACCCACCATCCTCTTCTCCCGAACCCCCCCGCTACCCACAACTTTCTGGAACGGCCACCAATGATCTCTCTCTCTCTATGTATATATATATATACACAGTAGCTTATATTCTCCAGCCTTCCCACTTGGTTTCTTTCCCTACACATCTGCTTTTCTTCCTTGTCTCTCAATATATGCATCTTCCATTATTCCGAGATCTAGAAGGTTCTAGCACGGTTTGTGCAATAGTAAACTCAGAACCTCCAGTAGCAAGGTCCAACAGGACGGACCCCATTTCTTTGGCAGAGTTTCCAGTCTGCCGCGAAGGGCTTCTTTGAGAATTTCCAGCAGAGATATCTAGCATACTGCAGTCTTTATTCTTTATTTCATGAATTGGCCGCCGTTTGTGAGATCCTGCCTGAGATTACCTATCCCTTAAGCTATCGATCGATGCTAACCCCCCTATAACAGAGAAATTAAATTTGTATGAGAGATCTATTATTTGATAACAGAGATAACGGTGTTGAATGAATGTCAGGCAACCCATATGTCTGCCCCCCCTCATACTTTACATACATGACCCTCGTACCCATACCACTAGAACCTACACACATAACACCCGCGCACAATATTATCGGAAAACTACACTTCAATGGAGTCCTCTCCCGAAATGCAAGCGCTTATCCGCCTCACCCCAGAAGAGCGAACCTTGATGCGCACGCCCGGAAAACGTTTCAATATAGCAAGAAAAAGGCCAGAAGAAGAACCTCCTAAGCCTCTTGACGACTTCTTCACGCAGGGGTATCCCCAGTTTAACTTCGTCGCCAGCGCCTCGCCCGAATCTCAGTGGAAACGACTTGCCCTGTCCGAGCAATGGTCGCCCGGCAGCCACGATTATGCCTCCGCCCGCGCACGATTCGAGGCCGCCTATGATAACCAGTTCAACACGGCAATAGATGGCTTTTTCAACCATTTCGTTGATTTTGATTACAACCCGCGTGCCGAGGCCAAAGCAGAATTCGAACGGCTGCGTCAGAGCAAGCGGTGGTTTGACGATGGGCAGAAGAATTTGAACGGCTGGTACAAATGGGTGGAATATAGGAGGGCTCGCGTGAGGTTTTTTAACGCATTCCGGGACGACTTTTCGTGCTTCTTTGGAAGCGGCGATGATGTACGGGATTGGGTGTTCTTGTGCGACATTTTGCGTGTTAAGCCCACGCCGAGGACTATCGAGCACTGCAAAGCTGTATATACCCCCCCTCTGATCCCTCTCTGACCGTTCTTCAACCACGTCCTTTGGCCAACCTGTGACAACTGCTGATTATGGGGTTGCCGTTGACAGGCGTTGGAAAGCTACTATGTGAACATATACGATCTCTACGATCATGTGCGCTCTAAAGAGCCTCTACTATGTCATGATACGGTCGCTGAGCTGAGCGTATACTCTCGGGATAATAACAAGCTCTATCCTCTAGAATCGGCCAAGACAACGTGTATGAAGTTCTTACTCCGGAGGTTTGTGGGTGTACACGGAATGAGATGGGACGACTGGGGTAGAAAGCTGGTTACTGAGGCAGAATATAATCAGAGTAAAGAGGACATGCATAACCTAGGAGAATTAGCTCGTGGGGGGGGCTGGTAGCCAAATTCGTGGGCTTATGCGGAGTTGATGCCGAGTAACCTTATGCCATGTTTGATATGAATCTCTATTAGCATTTTCTAATATTGTTTTATCTTTGGATCTTGGGGTTCTACTTTCTCCCAGTCATCTATTACATGCGTCTCTTTTATTTTTGTATGATATTTTCGCTTCTTACCCTGTCGCATTCGGCTTTCTGAGTATCATTGAATATTAAAACTCTTGCACCCATCCTCCACACGCATATCAGTTCATAAGTTCAACAGCACCGCCATTTAATCTCTATCGATATGGGAAATAAATTCGTCTTAGTTTCCGCACTGTATGCCACTTTCCAGGCTGGTATACCGGTATCAATTTGCCACCTAATAGGCTCCTACGGACTCAATTGAGATGTCAATCTAGCCAGCTCCCAGCACTAGATGTGGGCGGTGAACCGGGTCTTATAGAGGGCCAATCGAGGTGCCAATTCGCGAGCTCTGAGACTCTATCCTCCAGCTGCCAATCCCATGTACTAGTAGTGAACTGCTTTATATATTCAAGCCGACAGGTCGATATATGTCCATATCACAAGAAAAGGAAATTTTCTCACTTTATGAGGCTTTTTGGCACCCTTCCCAGCTCTTTTTAGTTCCCTAAGTAGGTATGACACTTCTTCAAATTTCATAAACTCCTTGAACGCAATCAATTACTTCATTTTATCTCCAAGAGTTGGAAGCGCAGTCCTCCTTCTCTAAAGCCGCCTTCTTGAATAGAACTAGCACTGCATTCCAAGAATCTCCTACATTCCCAAGACAAAGGTGTTTTGCCTTGATTTCAGCATAGAGGGCCTTGCATCTCCGAAAAGTAGCAGATCCATCAATGCTATCCTCCAAATCTTCAAGGCCCTTCCGAAATAGGCTCCAGTACTGGAGCCATTGAGCTTTCACTATCCGAAATAGCTAGTGATCCTCTGGAATAGAAGTCGGAAGGAGATACAGGCTGCGGTTGCATTAAACGAGCAAGATCCATTTTCCCCTAATACCAAGCAGGTTCCGCGTAACAATGGACTTCTTTAATAGGTGCAAAAGATGACAGCTAGAAGGCCCCGTGTAACGATTCACTCAGCCAAGAGATGCCGAAAGCTGCCGGCGGGGAGAAAAGATTCCGCATAATGATAGACTCCTTCAAGAGATACCGAAAGCTGCCGACAGAGAAAAAGGCTCCGTGTAACGATGGGTCTTTTCAAGAGTGCTTGCGGAGGAGGGTGAATGCTTTGCGCAATGATGATTTTCTTTAGGGTGGAGGTGAATCTAACGGGCCCGGGATCTGTTGATAGTACCAGCCAGTTCAAATAGGTACGAACACCTGCCTGCCTTCTCACATCCACCTGGTACAACTGGCATGTATTGTTCTATTCCGGACTCGGTTCTTGCATGTGCATTGTAGACTCGTAAATGGGTGTATGCCGAAGATGGGTGAATGCCGACGTTGCAACCAGGTTGAACGAACTGCTCTCGCCCAAATAATCCCTGTTGGGCATTCCACCGTCTTCGGCATACCCCCATCCACGAGTCTAGGTAGTGGTTTTCTTCCATTCCTGACTTGGGGCATATATGACACCCTGGTATCTTTTTCTCTAATGGAATCTTTAAATTTAACGGTATGCTACCCCCCACGGTGGGGGCCACCGCGAGCAACATCTACACGTCGGCGCCATCGACGCCCGCCGACCGCCGCCAATGCCCGCCAACACCCCGCCGACAGCGCGCAATCAGTAGCGTCAACGCCTTCCGCCCATCATGTTATCCCCGGCCCTCCACTCACAGAATATCACGATATCATCGCCTTTCACACCCGTCCGTGATTTCACTACAGTTAATCATACATATGAATTATTAAAAAAAAAAAAAAAAAAAAAAAACTACAATTAATCATAATATATCACTCGCACCAATACCCCGACCGTGAACTTAGCGCAAGCATCTGAATCACTCCCACACCTGAGATAATTCCCCAACACACTAGAATAACCCACGGCAACCACCCTTTCCTCACTACCCGTAATTTCGTTATAGCCAAACACACAATCTCACTCGCGCCACGACCTCCGATCGTGAGAAGAATCTCCCCCAGCGACTGAACCCCTCCCTTAGGACTAACCCACAACCCCCACCATATCCCATACCACACTGTCCCGCTTTTCCCTCCAACCAAGCACACGATCTCATGGTCAACGGTCTCACTACAGCCAAACACACGCTCTCACTCGCGCCAAGACCCCCGACCGAGTGAATCTTGACCGACCGAGTAAACACCGCACCACAACTCAATTTATTCACAGCGAACCACTCTTGCTTCTGCATGTTTATCATGCTCTTCACTGAATCATCAAACCCCATCCTCCAATCTCTCACTGCGGGAGACACGAGCGCGCCAAGACCTCCGACCGAGCGAGATCCAGCTTTAAGCGACGAAATTAATCCACCAATAACATATATGTATGCAGCGGAGAAGACACGATCGGAGAGCTATATTCGTATGAAGCACAAAATAAACGGCTTTGCTCCAGGAAAGGCAAGGTGTTGTTCCAGCAAAGGTAGCACCACCACAGCTAAGCTACACCGTTGTTCCAGCAAGAGCAAACTCTTGTCGGTAGATGTGGGAAATTCACTTTTTGCGGGAGCGGAACTGGTCTTTATATAGGAGAAGGAAGAGTAGGAGGGGACAGAGTCACTGCAGGGATGGAGGAAACTGGGCTGGATGTGCTTCTGCTGCTATTGGTGTATCATGTTATAGGATGAAATAAGTCACATTCGCGACCTCCCTATCGCAGAAATCACTAGCCGAGCATTGTAACTGTTGGAAACTCCTGATTCGCCCGGGTAGGCAGTTTGCTGCATTTAGCGGTCTTTGGAATACTCCGAGGTGCCAAAAGCTTCGTAAACTGCTACCCCATGACAGTAAACCGCTTCCCAGATAGGCCACCCTAATGCATGGGAGAGATTCTCCAAATGTCTCGTACCTACAAGGGATAGGGGTGCCCGCGTCGTCGGTTTATTGGATAGGGGCAGCTGTCTGCGTTCAAGCACGGCCATGATCAACAATGCAGTATGGTCAACGATGCAGTATGCATTGCCTACGGTATGACCTTTGTGGTGTAGAATAGAGAGGTAGGTCACCTCCCGGCAGAGGTATAACTAAATCGCCGCCCGGAATCCACAGTGGATTCTCGCGCCTCGTCTCGCTAGCGCCGCCTCCCGACTGTAAAAGGCGGTACTCTCAGGTAGTGATTCAAGCTGGTAGTGTGGGCGAGGTTTCGGTAATGGTTTTGCTCTTTCTGAGAGATAGCACAGCCAAGGAGTAAGGACGGAAATAATGGAAGGTGACGCTATCGGAGGTGCAGTGGTGTTTCCCAAGTTCGAAAGGCGATGGACATTACTTGAAGTTAAAAGCGACCAAGTAATAATATTAGTAAGGGATCGCACTCTCCAAGCTCTGGTAGGTAACAGTTGTGTATGTCACGGATACTAATAGGTGGTGGACGGCGGGTGTGCATAGGAAATCGGCCGAGTGAGATTGCATGATGGGGTGCGGGTTGATGTCGACTCAGAGTTCGTGATATTGTATAGAGAGATTTATATGGTAAGCTGGTGCGAGAGTATGCAGGCGACCTCTAGGGGGTCGTTCATAAGGGGGTCGTCTGGTAGTGGATTATGTTCAAGCGAGTGATACTCTGTGATTGTGGTGGAGGTTTTTATTTTTGTTTAATTCATTAATTGAGGTGGAGGTTGCGCAGCGAGAGATGAGGCTTGAGATTGCAGAGCCTGGTAGTCAGTGGGTGTCGGGGGTCAGGCTGTGGGGCTTGTCGAGAGGGCGGCCAGACAGCACGGGGCCGTAGGAGGGCGTGCTGCATGATAAACGTTGGCAGAAAATGGGTTGGAGGTGAAAGCGGAGACAGATATTGCGGAGATGGAGGTGGGCGTGCGGCGCGGTGGGATAGACCCGGGGGGGGGGGATGCCGAGACTCTGCTTTGTGGCGTGTCTTCTCACTTACCCCGCGCCCGGGGAGGTTTTATTTGTTTAGTGCCTAACCCTGTGTAACCCATGAGGCCTTACTTTTGCGCCCCCCAGTTTCTCTGGGTGCAGAATCAACACCATACACTTCCCAGAGTGCGCCCTCTTCCGCCACGCCTCCCAGATGTCAATCGACGACCGTTCTACCACCTCCATATGTAAACAGCGCCATACGACACCACAGCGCCCACAACCTCGACGACCACCACACCTTGATCATGGAATATGACTCGGTCCGACTCCAGTGATCGATCAAGACACCCATCAACACCCGTACCTTGCCAGTACACGCAGATGACTTGAAGGGAAGGTATAATGCCATAGGCAGCGTCACTGAGATGACACACCTTGGAACATACGAAACGCAAATAACCCAGATGCTCTGCAATCATGGATTATCACTCGTCAGACCTAACAAGCGTGCCCAATGCCGATCGACAAGTATCCCAGGTACAAGTGAATGACTTTACAGACAATATGTTAGCTGGAAACAATTTTTCTAACGATTTTACAGATGATATTTTCGTTGAGGATGTGATACTTGAATATGAATTGATGCGAGAGGAGAGCGCCTTCACAGTTCTGTACACCACTTGCGTGAATCATATCTCGCTGTACTAGTATGTGTGTACACCGTCCCAATGTTGTTGTCTTCTACTCGATTATATACCAACTTGACATGTATGTGTTAACTTCAGGTGATGATATAGAGAGGGAAGTGCAGAAGGTGATTCCCGCCTCTTACCCCAAACTTAATTTACACTGCATATTCCAAGCTGCGGGGGTGAAACATGTCAGCGGGGCGGGCCGCGGTGAACTTAATGCCCGCGCATATTTATTTTAAGCCACCGTCCGTTGCATTAACAAAAAGATCGGCGAAAAAAAAGAGGTTGCTGTGATCAGGTAAACGCAGCGAATAGCCATGCTCCCAAGGTTGTACTTTTAATACCGTTACGGTCACGTGGCCTCTGTGAGCGGCGTACAAAATATCATACCTACTACCTCCGGCTAGTAGACGTTGATCTTTTTATTCACCGATCTTTTTTTTTCTGTTGGCTTAAAAGGTTTAATGAAAGCTTGTTTCGACGCCCCTGGCCATGGGTGGCCAGTCTGCTGCTACTATGTAGCTTGCTTTTTTCTCCAGGCAAAGGAAATTTTTGCGCAACTTGTACTTTCTCATAGGTTGTCTAATATCGCTCATTAGAAACTCGGATTTTCATTTTCAAAGTGAAAGGGGATCGGGAACCCATGTAGCTAAAGTTCCATCTGCTCCTGTAGCTGACATGTCACTTTCTGATAAATACTCGATACTAAATATTTAGTCCTCGAGTATTTCTCAGTCTGTAGCTGCAGGATGCCCTGTTTGTCGGTAGTACTATAGTTCGACGCGTTTGGTTTCCTTTTCGCTTTGGAAATGGGAAATAGGGATTAACTAAAAGCCTCTATTGCCGAAATTCATGACATTTAAGCAAAACCAAAGGCTGGCTCTTCTTGGGGCTGTAATGTTGCTAAAAAAAGTAGAATTTGCTCTAAAGGAAGAAAAATCTCTTGAAGGAGGAGTGACAGACGTTACTTTCGCGACCAAGAACCTAGGGTTAGGGATATTTGAGCAGGATTTGCAAGAAAATCCACCAGACCAAGTTAAATCCTCCATTTAGTGCCCGACCCTGAAAACGCACGAAGGGGTAAGCGAAGACTTGAATACATGTACTCGCGTTTCCGAAACACGAGTGATATCACATGCACACAAGAAAACCGCCAAGGCATCATTTCCGATTCTCTAGAACTCACAAGCACGAGTAGTTCCCAAGGCAGGCACGAACTTCGAAAGCATTGATTGAGACATCAAAAGACCAGAAACCTTCCGGCTTCCCGTACATGAACTACAGATTGTCCTATTGCTTGCTGAGCCGTCGAAGGTTGATCGTACGTGCAGTGCGTTTTTAGATACATCCAACTGCAGTGGAAACACTTCGAAAACAAAAAAGGAAGATTGATATAAAGTCCACCAAATGGTGTTAAACCTAGTACAAAATAACTTCGTTGCCTGTCCCTACCCTCGTCTCCTGCATAGGTTGTATCATCTCGCACAGATCATTGAACGTGTCACAAGTGGATCTTTTTCTTTTTCTTAAATCATTTTAATTCTGATTCTAGGTACGGAATGGTCGCATAAAGTATAGTAAAGAAACCTATCCCCGACAGGAACGTACCGTTTACCCCCGTAAAAGTACAATGAATCGCAAGGAAATATAGAAAAAGAAGAGAAGACGCAAAAGATACAAACGGAAGTTAGAGGTCTGGAGCAAGTGCTGCCAGCCTGTGGAACTATTCAGAGGCATAGGCCTGTTTGCCCTCAGTGGGCTGCAGGGTGGTGATGGTGTCGAGAAGCCTACCTAATAATTAAAGACTTTGGCTTTGTGTAATGCAAAATTTGGTAAACTAGGGGAAAGCCACGATTATTCCTTGGAGACATGTCTCACCCACGGGCGAATCACGAAGCCTTTGCAGGCTGGCTGTGTATACCAGCGCCACATGAGTGTCATCAAGTGGTTGCCTGAAAGCCCCGCTGGTACCTAACCTCCAAACATTCACTCCAGGCCCACGACCGGAGATTTTGTACCAGCCATACCAACTTTCTTTTCTGCACATCCCCTTACCCAGCCACTTCCACCGCAGGGTATAGAGATATATATTGTTGTCAAGCGCTCCCGATCCCGGGGAAAGAAAACGTGTCAATACTCCATCCAGCAGCAAGCCAGTGGCATTCACAGCCCGGACGATTACCTCAACAGCCCCCCATGATTCCCCTCATAGCCCCCATGATTCCCACCATATCCTCCGTGATTAGCCCTGCGCTCGGTGTTTATAAAGACCTATCCCCTGGTATCTCCCCACCTCTTGCTGCCGTTGCTGCTCTAGTAGTAGTCGCTTTCGCGGCCTTTGTTCGGGGCCCCACCAAGGAGAATGAGGCCGTCAGCTATCTTCGTAGTGGGTTCGACCTTTTGGAGAAACAGGAGACCGAGCAACGGGAGCTGTTGAACAGACTGGAGGAAGAGAGGAGAAGGATACAGGATATGGAGGCGGATAGGAGGCGACGGGAGTTGGCCATCGAGCGTGCTACGATAGTCTTAGGGCAGACAAGGGCCGGTGCAGTGCGAGAGGTCAGGGAGGAGGAGAGGCAACAGAAAGAGGAGGAGAGGCGACAGAAAGAGGACGAGAGGCGACAGGGGGAGGAGGATAACAGGATTGAACGAGAGAAACTTTTCCACTTTGCCAGTATCGGCAAGTCTGGCTGCGGAAAGTCCTCGCTCATCAACGCATTCAGGAACCTCAGAAATAATGATGCTGGCGCCTCGGAGGCGGGCACGACGGAGACGACGCTTGAGATTGGGCGGTATCCGGCCGGATGCTGGGACGGGGCCTCCCCGAAACAGGATGGTATGGTTTGGTATTCCGGGCGCTGGCACGCAGCGCATTCCTCTCCACGACTACTTTGTCAAGCAGGGGCTGTTTATGTTTGACTTCATCATCCTCGCAATCGGAGACCGTTTCGAAGAGTTCCGACTCCAGGCAAGCACCCGCGGCCCTCTCCTCCACAGGGCAAGCACCGCAGAGCACAACCGCTGCGGCGAGAGAGTGCAAGCCCCAAGCTGCCCCCCAAATTGCTCCCGAATGTGCAAAAGGTAGTATACACACACGCACCCACGAATGAGAATGAACCCTTCAAAAAAATAGTCCGTAACTATTCTGACCTCCGGAATATGCTCGTTGTAAAGCCTTACATGTTGAACCCGACCGTTGCATTACTCACGTTCTATCCTTATGCGCCCATTCCGCGTGGGATAGCTGCGTTTGGGGGGGGGGGGGGGGGTGGTGCGGGTCGCGGACTATGAGGAGCGGAGAAAAGAACGGGCGGCAGAAGGGCGTAGTCGGGGCAGCAACGTGCAGAAGGGTAGAGCTGGTCGGGCAGGGGGTGGGGGAAATCGTCGCAGTAGGGCGATTGAGGTGGATAATTGGCGCAGTAGGGGAGAACGGGACGGTATAGGGGAGGCTGCTGAAAGTCGCAATACCAAAAACTCGCAGACGTGAGCCTTATAAGACGGCGCCTATATCCATCCCCAAAGCAAGTGGTATCCCTTAGGTTGTCAGTAAATGTTGCCCCCCCCAGGAAAAAGCAAAAGCTGGCGGCTTTTCGTAATAGATCTTGTTATCTCTCTCATCAAATAATTGATCTCCCATATGTACAAATCTTCACCTTCTATTATAGGGGGCAACATTGACAGCCCAAGGGATAGCGCAATATACGACTTCTCTGATCCCTCCATGTCCATATTAATCTTGTTCTTCTTCTCCTTTTTCCTCATGTTGCTAATGTGCGACGGGTTGAGGGGTAAAAGGGGTGAGTGATGCCGAGGGATAACTATTTGGGGCTGTAGCCCTCCTGGTGATAATATCCCCAGCTTGTACTTTAGTGTAGCTTCTGATCCAACCAATCCTCTCCTTCACTCCCCCAGGAAGCAGCTTAACGCTGTCAGTCCCTTCGATATCCCAAGTTTCAAGTACCGGGATGCCGGCCCCGCGGTGGGGCCCACCGCCGTAGACCGACCGCCAGCGCCCGCCAGGGGCCGCCCGCAACCGGCGACGCCGCATTCCTCAGCACGTCAACGCCTTCTAACTACCTTGTCATCCCTACACACATAATGTACCTAGTGAATAATCTATGATATCGTCGCTCTCTCATCCCTGCCCGTACATTCCGATCAATTGATCATAAGGTATCACTCGCGCCAAGACTAGACCCCCGAGTAATCTCCCCGAGTAGTCTCCCCTATTGAAACTTCTCGAAATAATAGCCATCGCGCCTGCACAAATCATCGCGAATAGCCATAGGACGATCTGATAAAAAAAAACCTACACCAGTTCGCTAAAGCAAAACACACAATATCACTCGCGCCAAGACTGCTGATATATCAAAAACGCAATTGAAGGCCTAACGCAACAGCCAAATCTACGGCATTGGCAAGCATTGTAAAGCGGTGCGTGTTCTAATGACTGTAGCAAAACACAAAACGGTTGGTTGATAAGCGAGACACTGATGACATTGATAGGACTGCTAGAGGTTCTACCTGTATACAACACAATTGAGGGCAAGTACATGTAGTCACACCACCTACCACTTGCCACAGGTCCACAGTTGTATAAGTATACGTAACTTATAGTCACGTATTCTGCCCGACAGCACCCCGCCGCTTCTCCACCAAAAAGGAAGGTGTAGCATGTCTGCGGCGTTGACCAGCACCACGCCGTTGCCCCCCCCCAAAAGGAAAAGCGTAGCACGTCTATGGCGTTGCCGTCAGTACAGTACCACAACCAATTAACCTACGCAGTTGCCCAGCACCACAGCACCACGACGTTGCAAGCACCGTACGTACCCAATAACCACAGCTCAGCATAGCGGCCAAATTTAAAGTCTACGGCTTTGCCCATGAACACAGCATTGCTCCAGCAAAATCACCGCGTACCCCCATGACAACCCTATCTACGCCGTTACCTAGCGCAGTACTACGCTGTATATAGCGTTGCCCGCAGCACCACCCCGTTGCCCGCAGCACAACAGCCAAATTGAATATGGCGTTGTCAAGCACCTGCCGGCGCTCCCCCAAAAAGGAAGGCGGAGCAAGCAAAGTCTACGCCTTTGTTCAAGCAAAAGCAGGCACACCTAGGCTACGGCGTTGATCAGCACCACGGTGTTGCTCCGGAAGCCGTAGCAAGCTGGTCTACGGCGTTGCCCAGGACTGCGGCGTTGCTCTCACAAAAAGTAGCTCGCAGCACCACTACCCAATTTACGCCTTTGCTCTACACCACGGCGTTGCTCCAGCAATTACAAAAGCGTAGCACCGCAGCTAATCCACGGCGTCGCCCATCACAGCCTTGCTCCAGCCACAAGAAAGGCATAGCAGCGCTACCAAAATCTACGGCATTGCCCAACCACCACGCCGTTGATCCAGCACAAATGTCTCCAAGCACCACGCCCCACACCTCGTGAATTGCCCATCATATCGTCGATTTTCACCTCCGCCCGTAAAGTTCCTACATTTAGACACAAGTTATCACTCCCACCGGGGCTCGCCTTGGGTGAACTTCCGCCACTGAACCGGTTGGTCCTGTAAACGAAGATGGTGAACCTTCGCGCGCACCACACTCGCCCAGAAGTAAAATCAGAGAATAAAATCAAACTCTTGATTAAATAACCAGACAAACCCTATCCCTTAACCCGGTAGCTCTTTTTGAAATATCCAATCCTAACCGGATTGGGACATGTTAGCCACTAAATTGTAACCTCAAGTGTCTGCTTGCCGTGATCCAACATTCAACCATCAACCACGGCCACAACCCAACCACGGCCACAACCCCAACCACAGCCAAATAAAGGAAATGAAAAAGGCCGATATACCCTAGGGTACAATTTCGAAATAGTAAACTACCACTAATGCGAGGTGACCTATGTTACCCGCATTTGGGGATGAAATTGGCAAACAACTGTAGATCTAATTAGATGAACAATGGTAATATGGCGATTAATTATCCTATGGTATTAGTTATAAACATACTAACCCTCTATCGAGGAAAAATACTGTAGGAATAAGCGGGGTTGAACCTGTATCATTGGGGATGTATCAACAAGCTGTACCACCTAGGCCATGGGGGAAGTTACATGATATGTGTTCTATCACTATATCAGATAGGGTGCTGGCAGGGAAAGGGTAGTTTACCCTTCCCACTCGATGACCCCCCAAAGACTAGACGGACACTTTGTCAAGAAAACTCACTAAGTCCCAAAACAGCAGGCTGAACCTTATTTAGTCCAAGACCGATAAACATCCCCCAAATGGGAAAGAGTAACCTGTATCTCCCATATTTCCTGTAAATTACCACTAAAGAGCAAAAGAGTACGAATTTACCTTGCCGGGCCCATTACTACACTCCCGAATTGGATGAGTTAGGCACCTTACACCAGAAAAATTGTACCGTAGGGTATACCTCCTGCATCCAGTGCTGAGAACTTTCCAGAACAATTGATAAAAAAAAACAAGGGAAAGAAGGTCTGGCAATACTATCCAAATTGATGATGCTACTTTGCAAGCACAGAATAACTGTGATAGGGATGCCAAAATCAACGCCGAGACAAATGCGGAACCAATACTACAGAATAGAAGGAGAAGATCTGCGGGCCTATGCAAGAAGGACAACTCCGGGAAAAATGCAGAACCACAGTTGAAAAAACTGAGGAGGGCGAGTGCGGTTGACGTAGAACCTGAGGGAGGGATTAGCAAAGCCAACGCCGAGAAAAATGCGGAACCTCCAGCCAAGAGATTGAGGAGAAGGAGTGCGGTTGGGATAAAGATTGAAGAACAGGGGGAGGAATTCAGCGGGGTTGGGACTAGAAGAGGGGGGAGGAGGAGCACCGCTGCAGTGAAGCAAGAAGAAGGAGGGCAGCAGCCGGAGGTTAGAGATAGTTTAGGGGAATCAATCAAAAAAGGAAGAAAGAGTAGAGCGGTTCCAGTGCAAGTAGAGGATGAACCAGAGGACAGTGAGGAACCATTGTTTAAGAAAACAAAACCAGTACGTGCTGAAGCAGAATCTTTGCCTGAGCTTCCAGACTTCGTGCCCTTTAAGTCTGAATTCCCTGCGCATACATCCCAGGTATGATTCAACCAGCTCGATGTTGATGTTTATGATAGCTGACTAGTTCTAAAAGGCAAATATCCCTGGTGATACTAAATATGACCCGTTCTCAATCTTCAATTTGTTTTTCAACGATTCAACCTTCGAAGAACTTGCCAATAATACCAACAAATATGCCAAACTAAAAAGAGATGAGTTCACTTTGAGAAATCTGGGAAGCAAAAAGCAACGGCCATGGAAACATTGTACGCCTGGCGATATCAAGATCATGATGGGACTGTTCATCCATATGGGTGTATCTCGCTTACCTACAGCGAGTGATCACTGGTATCGTGACCATGAAGGAACACTCTGTAGGATAGTGCAGTCACGACATAAGATCTGGTTGGCAACTAGAAACTCCGATGAAATGCCTAACAGGAGAACCACAAGAGATATCATGAAACAATCAATCGGGCTTGTCAGATATGAGCAGTTAAAATGGTACTTTCATGTATCAAACCCTACTTTGACCTCTCAGTTTACCGACAAGGACTGCCACAAGAAATTGGACCCACTTTCGAGCCGATTGCAAAATGCCTTCCAACGATACTTTGTACCTGGAACAAAGGTGGCAGTCGATGAAATGATAAGATTTTTTGGCAGAAGTAAACATACGGTCAAGATGAAGAGTAAACCAATTAAACAACGCTACAAAATCCGGGGTCTCTGCTGCCGGGAGTACACATATTCGTTTCTCTATTACTCAAGTGTTCATGATGTTGGAATAGTGGGTATTAATTGGAAAGAGATTCCCGGTCTCAACCCTACCGCATCTGCAGTCTATCACCTTGCAAAAACACTACCCTATCACGACAAGTGCTATCAAATTATTATGGATAATCTCTTCACCAATGTCCCGTTGTTAAAAGCTCTTCGAGAACTTGGTATTGAAGCAGCTGTACTACACGTATCAATGCGACAGGATTTCCTACCTGTCTGAATATTGATAGGGAGAAATCGAAGAACAATATTCTATGGGGGCAATTGTCGTGGACGGGATTTGCTGTCTGGTATGGCAAGATAATAATTCAGTTTTTTTTAGAACGTCTTTTCATGATGTTCATCAAACAATTGAACGTCTCCGTCGTCGGCCTAGGCATCAGCAGCACAAATGGTCTGATAGTACGTGGTATCTTTGGACTAGATGCCCGCAAGCTTCTCTACATACCCCTCTTTATTGATGATTATAATTTCAATATGGGAGGAGTGGATATTGCTGACCAACTGCATAGCTACTACTCAACCCAGCAGCGTGCATCACGGAACTGGTTTCCGTACTTCTTTTGGCTCCTTGATACCTCAATCATTAATGCCTATCAAATCCAGCGTATTCTACACCCGGAATTACGCAAGAAAAAGGCGCATCATAAGTGGTTTAGGATTGAATTAGCTAGAAGGCTGATCATGACGGGTAGCAAAGAAAACTTGGATACAGTACTCGCCCTCAAAGCTACTCAGGAAAGTACGGTCAAACCCACTCCTCTCGGCGCATACAGACCTATGCATGTCATGTCTAAGAATGCAACCCGCCCTGTACCTATCAACTACCCGCCACCTGCTTCCCATGAAGTAGAGAGCCGCCCTACCCAAAATGGCTGCATCCTACGCAGATGGAACCGTAAACTCAACCCCTCCCTTAAAGTCAGATATTCTCTGTCAGGATGCAAGCAGTGTAATGTAGCACTTTGTTCAATTTGCTTTAGAATATATCACTGTGTTTAATTATATCCATTCCTACTCGTAGTGTTTAGCCATTCTGTCCTAATCGGGTTAGGGATTGGATATTTCAAAAAGAGCTACCGGGTTAAGGCATAGTCCCGCTACACCCAGTCATACGAGATCACTCGTATCCATCCATAACTCCGGCTGCGCGTGAGTATGCTCCGGAATGTTGTTTAGTCCCCCGAGCAACAGCCATGCGCCGCACCGCCGCCGAATCACGCCGCTGCTCTGTACTATGCCGCTGCTCCAGCAACTTGCAGCGCCATGACGTTGCTCCCGCAAAAGCACGTTGTAACACGGCGTTGATCCAACAAAAAGCAAAGGCATAGCACACAACCAAATCTACACCGTTGTCCCGCACCCACCCCCACCCCCACCCCCACCCCGGCGCCGTATCACAGCAAAATCTACGTCGTTGCCAATCACCGCGGTTTAGCTCCCGCAAAAGCAACACTTAGCACCACGGCATTGGTCCAGCAAAGTAGCTGCACCAAAGCTAGTCTCCGGCTTTGCCCAGCCATTATCCCAAATGCGTCAAGGAGAAAAAAGAGCAAAAACTTAATTTTCGAAACTCACTATGGCAAATGAGCGTGAAAACAGGCCTATCCGACCATCATACTCCTCCCGCTAATAAACATTATCAAGTCTTCTTTCTCCAAAATACCCTTTGCGTAAATCGGACCGATCAAATTCAGTAAGCCAGAAAATAAGATAACACCAGGCAAACCATATAACTCGAGTCAAAAAAGGCATATATAATGGTTAAATAAGCCTAAAAATGGCCCCTTTCCTCACCCCCCATCACTCGTCGGGGTCATCCGTATCAATACACGGCCGCAGCCTCGGTAGCCTTGCCACAAACGTCTTCTCCCCGTCCTTCAGCTCTTCAAAGTACCGCTTCCGCTTGGCGCCCTCGCAGTCTTCGAGGATGGCGATTGTCTGCTGGACCAGTATCTGCCGCCACACATACACACACATCAGCCGGACGAGACCAAGAGAGGGTTTTTTTCTAAGGGGGGCAGGGTGAAAGAGAGAGGAAGCTGATCATACACGGAGTCCCCAGAGCTCAGCCGCAAGCGCAAACAGCTCCCCCGCGTCCTTGAGGCTAGTCGGTACTCTGCGCACCTCCTGCCCGCGGGAGACCACGCACACGTACCCACCGCCATACTTTATGCGCATCGTCTGGCAGTGCAGCCCTGTGTGTCCCCGCGCCCCGGCCCCGTCAGCACCCTTCAACAATGGTCCGGGGAACAAAATAACATGCCAGCAGTGACCACCCCCGCCAACACCACGTTCCGAAACGCCGCCTCGCACCCTACGGAAATCTCTGCAGCCACCAACATGTCGTGCAGCACCTTGACGATCTTCCTCGTGTCCGCGCCCCACTTGCGTCCGTATGCGCCCACCCACTCGCGTGCGTGCTCGACAGCACCGATCTCCATGTCGTGGTAGCGGAGAACGCCGTCGTATTTGTGGCCTTGGGACGTGGGCGTGTTCTTGCGCGTTAGGGAGGAGGTCGAGATGGATTCGCCGCTGCGGGTGGGGGGCGGGGGGGGGGTTAGCGGGCCGGGGGAAATGTGGGACGGGGGGAGGGGGAGGGGGAGGGGGTTTGCGGAGGTACCGGCTCAAGTGCACCCCCGGAAGCGTCATCATGCAACGGTCCATGAACGCAGACCATACGTTGACCACGTACCAGTTCTCGAGGTTGAACTTGTTGGTGAATAAGCCCGGGTTCTCATACAGCGGTAGACTGCACCCCCCCCCGAGATTGCACCATTCGCGTCAGCCACTTCTTCTCTCCCTCCTCCTGCCCCACCCCCCCCCCCCCCCCTCCCCCGTACGGCTTGGTGGGAAAAACTCACAGATGCCATAACAACTCCTCTGCCCACCTTCCTCCTGCCCCTACCCCCGGTCCCCCCCTCCCTACGCGCTCCTCGAGCCCCGCCGCCAGCTCCTCAGCACTCCCAACATGCTCATACCGCATCAGCGCGTCCACTACTTCCCGCTCCGCCCGCGGCCACGCCGGCATGCTGCCGCAGATCACGTCCCAGTCCGCATCGTCAAACAGGCCCCGGACGTCGGGGTCCTGCAGGTCCACCACCCACGAGTGTGCCGCGCACTCTGTCTGCTCGTTGCACAAGTGCGCGTAGAGGATGTCCTCGCAGTTCTTCCCGCTCGGGAGACGCCATTTCTGCGAGGCGTCGAGCGAGGCGTGGGCGGTTGTGAAGCGGTGGGGGAGGCCAGGGGCGTGCGGGGCGGCGGTCTTTTTGGGTTTCTTTGGTTTTTTGCGCGTGGGTGGGGCGGTGAAGCGGCGTTTGTGGGTGGTGCGGGAGGCGGGGGTGGGGTTGGGGTCGGGGAGGGTGAGGTTTACGGAGCAGTTGGTTGAGGAGGTGATTGTGTTGGTCACCACCAGGGGCGGGGGGGTGAAGCGGGAGGCGGAGCGGTACCACTCGCGGGCGCGGGCACTGTCGGGGCCCTGTGGGGGGGGGGGGTCAGTATATAGGTCACTCTACAGTGTGGAAATAAACATTGAGATTTGGCTGGTGAGCGGCACAAATGGAAGATATTCCCGATGCGATGCCTGAGAAGGAGGTCAAATTGTTCTCTGGTGAGCCACAATTACAGGTGAAATGGACACCAGGAAGATAGGAAGTACAATCCCCCCCTCCGAACGTTCTGTGAGTCGAGTATAGGGAAAGAAAACACCCAAACGCCGTAGCCCTCCCAAGCCAACGCAAAACCAGGAAAAGAAAGAGACCGCCATGGGACCCGCCCCCAACGTCCCAAACGCCCCAACCAGGAATATCAGCACCAAAAGAAAAGAAAAGAGAAAAGAAAGAAGAGAGGGGAGAACAAGAAGGTGAGATAAGAAACCCGCTGAACGCTTCACCCCCCCCCCCCCCGGGGGCACCCAGCACAGGCAAATCCAGCCACAGCAAAACGCACCCCCACCGGTCAAGCACGCAGCCAACAGGGACCGACGACGCACGTCATCCCTGCCCCAGTGGGCCCACCGTCAAGCCAGCACGCAGCCTCAGCGGACAACGGCGCACGCCGTCCGCTGTGTCGACGGTGGTGTTTCGCCGCGACCAGATCACCGGTTAGATGAGAGAGAAGGGGGGGAGGGGGGGGTCAGGGCACGTTGGCTGGGAGTAAGTGGGTGGTGGGCAGGAGAGAGAAAGAAAAGAAGAAGAAGAAGAAAAGGGACACCCACCAGCGCATCATAGCGGGCATACAGCTCTGCAGCCTTCGCCCGCTCCTCGTCAGTCGCATCGCCGTCCGCCTTTGCGAGCGCGGTCAGAGCCTTCACCCACGAGTGGATGAGCTTGTCGAAAGGGCCCGCGTCGCCGGAGCGGCGGAGGTAGTCGAGGATGTCCCAGGAGTTGCACGGCGTGGAGGAGAGGTAGGTGTCGGCCCAGCGATACTGCGTGTAGAGGGGGGGGGGGGGGGTGTTAGCGGTGGTGTAGTATGATCGGGGGGGGGGGGGATGGGTGGCACCTCGGGTTTGGGAGGGGGAGGAGTGGAGCAGGGGGGAGCGTCGGTGGTGGATGGCGGTGGGGCAGGGTCCAGATCCGGGGGAGAAATCGGAGGGGGTGGACCGAGGGTCGACATGGGCGGGGAGCTGGAGGTGGAGGTGCGGAGTACTGGGGACTGTCTATCTATCTAGCAGACGAGGAGGAGGAGAAGCGTGGTGTGTTGTTAATTGGAGCCGAGAGCGAGCACGATGAGAGGGGTGAGGCTTGGCAGGCGCGTAAAGAGCATCTGATAAGATCCTCGCCATGATTATCTCTAGACGCCGTTCTTACTAGTACAGGGATCAAAAATGAGCGTGGAGAGTTCGATCGAGAAGAATCAACAAAAGTCCTTATTTTGCACAATCAATTTTCCTTGCAGAACCTCCCTGAACGAGTGATAGTTCTGAGCCATGGCCTGACGTACCGGGTGTGCACGTAAAATACAGAGACACCAAAGCAACCAATGATGCGTGATCATTTTTACTTGGACTAATCTAGGAAAAAAATACAGACACCTTGTAATATATTTTCACTCTAAGGAATTGAGTTCAAATTTGGAACATACAAAAAAATTTAAATGACCGCCTGCTGCTTCACCTGGGTAGCGTTTTGAGCTTCTAGCACCATTGACGGTTGAGATTATAACAAATTTGTATCAAAGCAAGAGTCAAATTGAGGTGATGGAGACGGAACCAGCGGATTCGAAGATTAAATGTATATTTTGGCGCCTGGTTGGGTGGTTTCCCTGAATCCGGTGGACTTGGTAGATCTCTGTATTCTCTGGGTTCCCTGGATTCCCTGGATTCGCAAGACTCACTAGAATTGCTAGATTTCTGGGTTCGCTAGCTTCCCTGAGTTGAGTGGATTCAGTGGATTCGGTGCTGGACCCGGCCCTGGTTGGGTTGGTTCACTGTATTCTTGGACAAGGTGCCTGGTTTGGTACTTGATTCCCTGAACTATATAGATTTGGGGGCGGAGTCGGGAAGAGTGTCAAGTCAGGGCCACAGGCAACAGCGGGGCGTCATCACTGCCTTCTGGAATATGATGCTCTTCGGCTGGCTCGTGGCCTTTTTGAATCTGAACCACCGCGTTGGTGGGCAGAAGATCATACCGAGGGAAGACGATTCCCCGGTCCCGACGAACCAGTGGTGGGCAGGCGGCGGATTAGGTGTGTTCCCTGTGGGTGGGGTGCGCCTTGGTTCTATATAACTGAGCAGGTATGAGGCCAAGCCCCTGAGATGTCGATGAATCCATGGCGGATCACCATCAGAGCTGGGGAGTTGGACAGGGATGCGTCATGGACTATCACTCAGGATCGAACGCAGGTAATGGTGGGTGGATATTGATGCCAAGGGTACAGCTGGGGTTGGAAAGGATAGTTCAGGTACTTTATGTAACTGTAGAGTACATAATTTAGTGAGATTCCTTCGTGTGTTTTCACGACCGGGAGCTGGCAGCCAACCTTTACTCGGTAGTAAACCTAACCCTCACTCCGTGAACATCTTTGCTGCTAAGTCACCTTCTGTGACCCATCCTATGCCCATTTTAGTGTCTCCACAGTCTATAGCTGGCTAGATTTCCTGAATATACCACCACACCGTTGGGGCCTAATATGTCTCAGATTTTTCTGGGACGAGCGAAGGAATGGGTGCCGGATGTGCGTGCTGTGGGATTAATAGAATCGTGAATCCTTCCAAGACGCGGGGGGTGCAGAGTTGAGGAGATGGGATAAAGACGACAGCAAATGGCATACATGTAGCTAAGTATATACCTTTCTAACTAGAGTAAGTAATATCAAAGATCTGTCTGATAGAGTCTGGTCCTAAATATGGGAGATTACTAATCTGGCTATATTTAGTATGTGACCTGGAATATACTCGAAACTTCATACCGTTTCCGAACACGACCAATACTGCATGACATACAAAAAGGTGGATTTGGCGTGAATTTACAAATACTATTGGGCAGGATACGTGACTATAAGTTACGTATACTACAACTATGGAGTTATGGCAAGGGATAGGTGGCGTGACTACTTGTCCTCAATTGTGTTGCATAAAGATAGAACCTCTAGTAGTTCTATTAATATTATTAGTTTTTGCTTATCAGAACACGCACCGCCGTACAGTACTCATAGTGGATTGGGGGGGGGAATGACGTACCGCAGGCAACAACGAAACAGAGGATGTCAGGCAATCATGCCACTTGTCTTTTTTCTGAGCACATCTCCTCTTCCCCTTTCTAATCATTTATCAGAGTTTTTTTCGAGAACTTTTTATCCGCGTTTTTTTTTCTCCCTGCACGAATATGTCGCCTGCTCACTTAGATGATGATGATCCTTCGCTTTGGCCTGTTCGGTTTAGGCCTCACGGAGTTCCTGGTCATTTATGTTCTCCTTTAAGATGTCCCGCTGGGTACTCCCCTCATGGGACTCCTACACATGCTTGCTCTTTTGTGTGCATGTATTCTGTTCATCGGGGAGTTCCCCCTCCGAAGGGCCATACTTGCACGGACGCTTGTTTCCCGGGTGGTAAGTTTTTTTTCCCGCGGGATGTTCTTTTAGCTCATTGGAACTTAGCGAAGCTACCGGAGCAGGTTCTACAGTGGGTGGTGGCACGGATCCTCCCGTTGGTGGGCCTGCCGGACCATCCGATGGAGCCGTTGGTTCGGGCGATCAACCTTCTTCAAGCGGAATGCCATCTGCTGGTCCCGTCGGTACCAAAGCAGGAGGAGGAGGAGGAGGAGGAGGAGCAGAAGGGAACGGAGGTGGACATCAAGGCGCCCCAACAATCGTCCGGGGTGGTGGTGGAGCTCCGGGACTGTGTAAAGAGCTTGGCGAGCATTACTTCGGATGCTTCGGGTGCTCCAGGACCTACGGGGAAGGATGGTTCTTCGACTCCTGAAGATCCTCCTGGCAGCGATCCGGATTCGTCCGGTCTCGAGGGACGTGTTCCTTCGTTGGAGCTAATTATAAGGTTAGTCTAGAACCTTTTCTTTTTTTAGCTTGCAACCTTTTTCGATTTATTAAATTCTTATGGAATCTTTTTCCGTCAAAGGGCGAAATCCATTGTCGATTCTCGTGACACGGTCCTTCGAGAGGTCACGGAGTTGCAGTTGCAAGTTGATACTGTGCTTTCTCAATTGAGAACTGTGGAACCTAGCTTGCGGGCGGCAGACACTCGTTTGGCGGATATACGTGGTCGTGTTTTTACTGATTTTTTGTCTTCTCTTGATACGCTTGATCGTTTTCTTGATCGTCTTTGTATCGGTGGAACGTGGTCGGGGGGGTTGCATGAGGAACTGCGTAAGATCTATGAGACTTTTCGGTTGTGTCATACTTCCGCTTTGGAGACGTGAGTTTGGTTTATCAATATGATTAAATGTTTGGGTGATATTTACAAGTCTGACAATTGTGACCATCTTAACCACTTATCATGTTTGTTTCTCCTCCTTCCCACCCCCCCATCTTAGGCTTATAGCGGCCTTGCTCGCTCTAAGGGATATAGTGCCCTAGGATCGCTCTTATTCTGCCGACTCTTTCCTCTTTGCTTTTTTCTTTCAACTATTATTCATCAAATTCATCCAATTGGAAGGTAGTGACAAGAACAGATAAGAAGATGCGGTTGAGATGCGCCGTATTACGTGTGGATGGCAGAGGAAATACCTTGCACTATCTGTCTGTATAGGTGTGTTGTGCACTGCGGGGAAGTTCTCTTTATGTTTGGAGCATGTTTGTGAGGAGTTTCCGGTACTACTTCCACATTCCCCCCGGACACTTCTTTTTGTTGTATCAAATGTGGCACTGGGTTTGTGATCGGTGATGTTCTTCTCGTGTCCTGTTATGTACTATTGAAACCCTGGACGGGCTTCTCGTCGACGCGATAACGACTGGTATGGCAAGAAGTCTCTCGAATCGGTGCACGATGCCGGGTATTCCCCCGCAGTGCAACCCCCAGAAGATAATGTTGACTACGCTGCAGTTGTACCTAGGGGACCTGAAAGGTGATGCTATGGCTTGGACTGGGTAAGGTCTTGGTGAATTCGCAACCTTATTAATTTCTTTTATTTAAATGCAATTGATGAATTCTTGGTACTCTCTTTATATGTGCTTTATATACTATATATTGTTGCCTCATTAAGGTCAAAATCGTGGGTACGTAGTAAATTGAGTCGTTACATGACTTTCCAGCACCCCCGGGTACATTCGGAGGTTTAACGTCTCTTAATCGTTGGAGGATCGCCTAGTGTTTACTTTTCTCCCAAGCGTCCAGTCCAGTGAGGGCTTCTCACCCTGATCGACGCTTGGTGCGGCTAGGAGGTATTGCTGGGTCACATCCAGCATGTGGGGCGAGAACCGGGGGTGCTTCATGCACCATCACTCGGGATCGAAATGAGGCATATTGGTAGATATAGGTACCTGAATGCCAGGGGGTAAAGAAAGAGATTGGAGGGCTGGTTGGTAAAGTGCCTCCGGTACAAATAGAGGTGTCTCAAATACATAGGCAGTCACATATACACCAGACATGCGTGTAGGAACTTTACCCACCAGATTTCGGTACTGACAGACTGGGAATTGGGTCGCATATCCTTGGAAAGCCGTATCTTCAAGAGGTGGGGGTTCTGATAAGCGGGAGAGGGGGGCGCCTCCCGGTCAAGCTGCTCCTGTCGAGATCTATGGGATATGACTACCGTAACAACGCAGTTTGGGATATATAGTATATTTCTCATCCGTAAGTACAATAATATATTGTCCGTCAAGAGTGAAAGATGACTCGCAAATATATGACTCTGTCCTTTTTTAAGACCTAGCTCTCGTCCGCCGGGGCAAGAGGGCTTGTTCTCCATCTCTACGTATGTAAATGGGTGATTTGTCCATGTAGTAAACACAGTATTACATAAATGGTAGGCACGATGGATTACATCTACAATGCAGGCAGAATAAAATTTCGCTTCGGTGTCTAGCAACCTAAAATTTACTAGTGCTCAGTGTTTTGCACCCGCAGCGTTATTCGCAATCTGACCCATTAAGCCTCGCAGCCGCGCCGTGCACGTGCACAACAGCCTATTGAACTGCCGTTCGATGACAACCCTAGGATTGCACCCCGCGCATAATAGCCCAATCCACCACACAACTCTCTCACTACGCCATGATGGTGGGGTCGGTGGTGTCGTGAGTTACACAGCAGTAGGAAGGGCTCTGTGCCTGAGAGGCCGCGCGACCTGCCGCCTGTCTGATCAGCTGAGGGTGCAGTTGCCTAGTAGCTATTAATAGGCATGTAGTGTTGCTTGGGGGGCACTGCATGCACCTTGAGGAGGTTGCGCAACCAGTGCGTGTCGTCTATGTGTCGCTGGCTGAGGTAGTAGGGACGGTGTCGGTTATGTGGAATGTCGCCTATAGTAATTGGGCTGGAGGTCGATGACGCTCTGGTGGGGTCGCTCCTAATACGGTCTAGTGTCACTTCGTCGGTGTGGTAGGTCGGCCGAGTGATATTCTATGCAAGGTCGGTGTCGGTGTTTGTAAAGTGTCGTAGGTATGGGTCTGAATGCTGGAGGTGGTATTGGTGCCGTAGTCTGAGATATAGGAGGTGTGGTGTAGGACGGAGCCTTCTGTGGACGTGTGGTTAGGTGTCGGTGTCATGGGTAGGCGAGTGATAATCCATGATTAGGTCGAGGTTGCGCAGGCCCAGGGGTGGTGCTGTGCAATCGTGGGATGTCGGTGGGGCAGGAAGATCGCTTCGGAGTGTAGCAGGGAGTGCTGTAAGAGAGCTCGTGCTGCGGGGTGTCGATATCAGTAGAGTTTGGAGGATGACTGGGGACGTGGGGGACGGGGGTGGATGGTTGCGGTGGGATCGGGAAGGAAAGTATCGGATTATACATATATATTGGACTATAAGTGTGACTGGGATTCTTGTGTTACTCTTTGGTGAGGACAGAACAATGAGCTACGAGAGGATGGGTCGGTGGTTTGGATATCAGGAACAGAACGTATATACCCCTTAAACCGTCAAAGCTGTCTATTCCTTTAGGTGGCGAAGTGTAAACGGTGGCTTAGGCCTGGGTGGTTTACGCATATATACAGCTCGGGCACTTCTGGAAATTATTTTGTCTCAGAATAGGCAGCATCTAAGAACCAGATTATGGGATACTTGAGCGTGGGTTTGGAGAATTGCTTTCACAGCACGACACCTGTCCCCCTGATCATCCTTTTTGCAATGGAGCGTGGGGTAGCGTAAACAGCTCTCTGCCGGATATAATGCGATCAGCTACTGGAATCAAGCTTTCTCAATGTGGAGTATATTGCCCTCCATTATAGCCTACTCCTAAGGTCACGAATAAAGCCACCACCCACTCCACTCACCCTACCATCAAACCTATCCAACCCGCCTATAGCTACCCATCAACCGACACTGATACCGTCCCCCCCTCCTCCTCCCTCGACCCTTATACCGGCCTCGCAATCCCTTCCATATCATTGACTCTCCTCGCCGGATACGTGGTGAACATATCCACCGCATCCCTCAAATCCACCATCTGCACATCCACGAACTTACCTGGATCTACCTCCAATCCCGGCAACCTCATCACCAGCAGCGACCCACCCCACGGATGCAACGACTTCCCTCTCGTCACTGCAGGAACACAGAGATTGAGACCTCCAGTCTGATCAACGTAGCAATCGTCATTGTAGTACACCCCCAGCTTATCCTTCCTCCACCGCTTCCTGAGCGCGTTCGCGCATATGTTCACCGCCCTTGCCGGATTGAAGCCGAGCTCAGGACAAGTGGCTGACTCCCAGGGTAAATCGTCGTCGGTATGCATGAGCGGGCAATCAACCCAGATGAGGCGCGGGGTGAAAGAGGTCTCGGGGAAGAGGATACCGAGGCGGTGTGTCGGGCTTGGGGCGGTGGTGAAGGTGGCGAAGCTGGTGCAGAGGAGCTTATGTACGGGCCAGTCGGCTTTTTGGCAGGCTTTTGTGCAGTATGCGGCGCTTTTGCATGTGCCACAGAGATTGGTGGTGGTGCCAGAGCACATGGAGCATTGTTGGAGAGGGTTGGGCATTTGGTTTATTGTGGGTATGTGGTGGGAATTTGGGATGGGGAAGTGGAGAAGGTTTGATTTGGTTTTGTGGTGACTGTGGTACTGCCTGCGTAACGCGAGTGCGGGTTGCCTGAAGTGAGGCATCGATGCCTGATACAGCACGACGGGAGTAGCGCTAGAGGTGGCACAGGTGGCGTGGGGTATTTATAAACAAAAATTAATCTTAACATTCTTGTCTTGAATTGAATATTTGAGTGACTTGTGATAGCCTCATGTACTAAAATAAAATCGACTACCTAATTCCAGGTGGGCTTGCCATACCCCGATAGGGCTGTGGTTATGGAGTTGAGCGACAAAGGCCAAAGTTTTCACACCTATAATGCTAACGACATCTCTTGTAAACAATCTCCACTTTCATAGGAAGGAAATATAGAATATCCTAACTTAACATCCTGTATTGTCAAAGGAATCAAAGGCCTTAGTTTTATCATAAGTAGCAAGTCGGTTGACAACGCATCCATATAAGCATTTATGTTCTCACAACGATCGCATAGCCTACATTGACCCTCAACCACTCATGCCATGCCTCATACCTTATCGCACCCATCCTGATTTCGACATAGTCTTTAGTACAATCGACCCTCCCAATTACATTCACCGGGTCCTCCCATCCACTCACATTATACTTCTGGGTCCAGACCTTCATACAGTAATGATCCAACAGCCTCTATGTCCTTGTCACAGCCTTCAAGCACGGCAATGGGTCATCCGCCCTCTCCACACTTCTCAACATCTGCACTGCACTCATATCATCCTCATTGTACAGCTCTTTTGTCACCTCATCCGCACACACGTTCGTGAATTATAGCACCCGCAGATACTGCAGCTTTGAAATAGTTCGGAGCAAGCTATCAAGTCTTGGAACAGTAGCATTTGGCTTGTGACCCCGTCAGCGCCGCTCCAATGGTTGGCGGCAATGGCCGGGAAATGTCAGTTGCTCTAGCGGTAGCCCTCAATTGGAGTCTGCTGCCAGCCATGCATCCTCGGAAAGCTGCATACAAGTATGCAAGTGCATGACCGTGGAAGGTATCTGAGTAAATAGATTCCGACCAGCGTGAGGTGAGATAGTTTTTGCTGGGAGCCTATGAACCGTTTGAGTTGAGTTCGTCACAAAGCTGTTACAGTAAACAGGCACCACCTCTAAACCCTCAGTAAGGTAATAGATATAAATTAAAGATAGGGATCCAACATTCCACGATATCATTATGGATGATGACATTTTCATGAGAGGACGAATCCAGTTGTAGTACATGATCAGGTGCAGATATGCCAATTGGGACGGTGAGAATGTTACTGCCTTTGTACTAATTATTATAGGTGATGGTAGGACCAACCAGCTCCAACGTCTTCGGCTGGATATTAACCGGTACAGCCGGTGCCTCAGCTGCTGCTGGCGCCGTTGGCCTGTGATTCAAGATGCCCTGGATGAGGCATCAATCGATACGGAGGATTTGAAAGTCTGGTGAATGCAGTAGGAAGGCCTGGAGGAGGGCTGGTATAGGATCGATGTCATATCCCCCCGTACCGTTAAATGCGAAGTGCTTCATATGCACTACTAGGGAGTTTAGGCTTCATGAACGTGGTGGTAAACGTTTGGATGGCTGGAAAAGACAATCCCTATTAAGTCTCTTGTAAATCCGATGTTGACGGTTCAGATCAGGGCTGCTTTGTGATTGAAGAGTATCTCAATTATAAAAGGACAGGAAAGAAGGTAATTAACCCCCATCTGAGTAATATAGTTTCAGTATATGGTTCCGACACAGCGCGAAACCTTGATTTCTTGAAATATTGTAAGCCCGAAAGTCCTGAATTGCCTTGGCCACGGCTTCATGAACCTCTCTAAGCGTTTGGTGATGCCAATGTGACCTCAAGTCCCACATCTTATCTACTCAAGGCACCAGAAGCGCAAAGTTGTTCACAGGATATTTAGGCAGCGTGACGACCTCGAGCACTCTGAGAGATACCTCAAGGCAGGGTAGCTGCATATTGAGCACAACTCGGTGGTAGAGGATAGGTTTTGTCAGAGTATGGAGAGTCTGGCTAGTGAGTGTGATGGCACACAGGTCGCGGCGTGAGAGAGTGCGTTCGAGCCTTATTTGGCGTGTGATCTGTCAGGTATTTGGTTAATTGTGCAGTTGAACAGGGGGTCGGGTTACAGACCTTGAGGGGAAAGTTAAGAGTGGACATTTGGTGATATTTGGTATGACTATTGATTTAGGTCCGAGACTGAAGTCGTGAATGAGATGGGTAGATGGATAGGTGGATATGGTATTGGCTGATGTAGGCCGAGTCCTAGAGTACTTATGGCTGCTTCGCAGCTATTTGCTGGCATGTTTAACTACACAAGCTATACGTGCCCCTCCCGGGATAGAAGTGAAATCTTTAACTACATACCTATATTCTCGCCTTACAGTAGTAGATCCTCCAACGTCACTATAGACTTCTTGGCCTCGATAACTGCCTTAGAAAGTGCGCTTGCGTTTGTTCTTGACTTGGCTGACTCCTTGGGAAGTAAGTGTCAATGCGTCTTGGTCTTGTGGAGGTAACACATTGCTAAATACTAATTAACATCTAATAGTATCTAGTAGGATTTTCTCACCGGGGGCGAATAGCGTAGCAAGAAAAAAAAAGGGAAGTCAATAGAATCGGGCGGTAATGCTAAGGATGTCTAGATCTAACCCTACTACCTAAATTCAACCCTAACGCACTCCTCAGGCGGAATATCGGGGGGCGGGCATCAGTAGGGGGCTGCTGGGCGGGATAGGAGGGTATAGACACGGAGCCGGAACGGGCATGACACATGATTACGTTAGCTTGGTAATCGATCATATCCGTACGTTCGACCATTAACGATCTTTATATGTGTCCCTAGGTATTTTTGGTTTCCCTCTCATACCAACAGATCACAACGGTATGTGGGAGCAAATCCAAATTATCTGCCCTTCTCGCCTGCTAGTACCCTCTAGATCTTTCAAATCTTAGATGAGCGAGCTGGGCTGAGGTCTTGCAATGTACGAGGTTGAAACTATGATTGGCCGGGATGGGACATGGGCGGTGGCGTAGCAGTGCGAATGATACCCGGTGACCTAATTTACAGAGTGGAGAAATATATGTAGAGAAGTGTTCAATTGTTGCTGCCTAAGGGGGAATGGCCCTGGTGTATTTATATTAAAGAATACTGTTAGAATAATATAATAGAGAGCTATGACAAATACACATGAGTAATAGAAAATAACTCATAGTCGACATAATGACCAAAATAATAATCAAATACTTCCACGCCGCAGACCGCAACCAGTCCCTGCCAGGGGCTGGCAGCATTAATGCCACGACGTCGCACAACTCGTCACGTCAACGCCTTAATTCCCACCACTCTGTCATCCCCGGCCGCGGCCCTCCGCACCCCTAAAAGCATTACCATATCGCCAACCTTCAGACCGCCCGTGAATTCACTACATTAAATCTTAAGATATCACTCGCGGGAAGACTTCCGACCGAGTAAATTTTGACCGACCAAGTAAAAGTAAACCCCGCACGACAACCCACCCACCTCGAACTGTTCTGACCCGTTGACCAAGACGTCGATTTGGCCAAGTGCGCGCACAACTCGTCAAGATTGACGGATAGGGCGCACCTTTGAAAAGGCCCATGTTAAGATGAATAGGGCGCTCCATTAAACAAGTTCGCGTAATATCTCTACTCCAGTGACCAAGTCCAAACGTAGAAAACGGAGGTTCCGCGCTCTGCTATCCCTTAAGCTGTCGTGAAAATGCTCATCCACCTGTGTCTTTATTAAGAGATTTTAAATAAGTATAATGATTGTCTAAAAAATCTCATTCTCTGAATTGTGTGCCCACACCATCTCAGGGAAGAGGTAAAATTATCTGATTAAACATTGTCTTTAGAGTATTGAATTACAGCAAAACCTATCATGATTCCACTCCCGAGCTGACTGAACTCTGCTGGAATTATAATAGGTTTGGGCCCGTTTCTCTTATCCGTTTCTCTTATCTGAACTCATTGACATATGCGCCGGAGGGAAGTATTATCTAGAGTAAAGCATCGGTCGGGAATTGCCACTTGATCGTTGGGTCAACAATTTATCAAGACGCCCATTTGGCCAAGGGGTCGCCCCGTCCACCATCTTGCTCGATAGGGCGCACACTTGATCAAATGTACGTCTTGGTCAACGGATCAGAACACCAGCACCACTCCGTTGCACCAGCGAAATCAAGGCATTGCCCAACACCACGTTGTTGCTTCAGCACAACGGCCTAGCACTACCGCCGGGTCCACAACATCTAGCACCACGTCCCGCACAACTCCTGCACAACGTACCCAGCCACCCCAGCGCCTGCAAAAAGCCTTTGTTGCAGTCCGCCAGATGCCGCCCAGAACAGCCACCAGCGGAACCATCCGCTACAAACCCGAATCAATTCAACCTGTCGTCCCAACACCCACGCCCAGAGAACAATGGACTGTAACGACTTTTAACCCGCCTGCGCATAGGCCAAGACCACCCATCATACCTCCACGTAGTGCCGATCACCAATTGCAAGGCTGCACCCCATCAGAACAAAGTGGATATCCACTAATGCCTCCCACGATCTCAATGATGGACTTGGCCTGTTTGTATAGCATCAGCTAAGTTTCGGTGCCTTTGCTGGGAGCGTTTGGGCTGCGCGCCCACAGTCACGAATCAATGCCCCGATTGTGGGGGGAGGGATTTATATATAACTATAGGGTGTAGTGGAGAGTATTTTTATTGGATATCGGCGTGGGGGGGGGGGGGGGGGGATACTTTCTCAAAAAACAAAAACACATACATATATAGGCCCCCCGGGCCCATCAACAATAACAAAACAGAACAGAGCCAGCAAAGGAAATCCAAGGAAATGAGAGAACAATGACACCCAAGCAAATCCAAGGAAGAACGAAAGAATAGGAACATGGCACTCCAT